ATTTAAATTGATTAAAAGTCTGTTAATTCTTGATCTTATGTGGAAGTTCGTTCCATAATCTAGGACCAGTTGAACTGAAAGACCTATACCCATATGACTTTAAATTATATCTTGGAATAACTAGTGACTGTTTATTTTGAGAGCAAGAGAGAGAAAAATGGGGTTTAACGTCCACTCAACACAAACTAGGTCATTTCGGGACTAACATATGGTTCAATTTCATTTCCGTAAATTTCAGAAAACCCAAGAAGTTGGACAGGCAACCCTACTCCTTGTCACATACAACCGGGGATTCAAAACCACGCCAGTTGACTCAATGACAGACTTTATGATACAGCACGCACATGCTAACCATTCAGCCATCCAACCCCCCATTTTGAGAGCGAAGTAATCTGATAGGGTTGTAGTCATATAAGAGTTTAGATAAGTATTGTGTTATCGTGACATTTATACAATGTCATAAAATTAGAATTTCCATGAATTTAAAACACAATAAATCACTTACATTCTTGTTTTTATGTATATAAAAATTGGAATAAGGCTAAATACTCATTAGAAAAAATATCTTGCTCATTAGAGTAGCTAAACGTAACGGAAATGATATGAAACTTTGTGTAACGTCCTACTGTTCTACTCCGACTGGGCTAATGAAGACAGGTATACACCATACAGTGTGCTATGAGGGAAATATTGCCCGAGCAGCGGCACTATGGCCTACCTTACATCGAATTCCAACTGCCAAGAGATCTTTTAAGTGCATGCCAATATATACATCTGAACGACTAGACAGCTGTCCTTGTCAGGCCCGTCGTCCTGCACCACTGATACGGGGGAAACCACATCGGAAAATCCCAATGAACTTTATCCGCCAACATCATGATCGAACCCGCAACCTGCAGGCTAGCGAGCCACAAAGCTAGGGAGAGAGAGAGGGATAAATGGAATTTAAAGTTCACTCGACACAAACTAGGTCATTTCGGGACTAACATATGGTTTTAATCTTATTTTAATAATTCGCTTGTGCGTAGGGGTCTTTAGCAGTGGGAGGAAACCGGAGGACCAGGAGAAAACCCACGAGGTTGGACAGGCGACCCTACTCATTGTCACGTACAACCGTGGATTCGAAACCACGCCAGTTGACTCAATGACAGGCCTTATGATACAGCGCACACGTGCTAACCATTCGGCCATCCAGCCCTCCCCCACAAAGTTAGGAAAAGCACCCTTAAATCTGATATATTAATAACAACAAGGCTTTGTCACAAACTGGTAATAACAAGGATGTCCGCCATCTTTAAAATGGCTGAAAATGAAATTCAAACAAACTGCTTCCCTCCCACTTATGCCGTGTCAAAAAGGCTAAAAAGGTAAACAATAAACCCATAATTTACAACATGGTAAAACTCACCCAATCCATCTAAATATAGTATTTAAATCTTTGGTAAATAAACTACTGGATAATCCTTGCTTCACTTCATTATTCCACTGGATACCCTCATCTACATTCTGTATATAAATAAAGGTTTATTCTTAAAATTAAATACATCTTACTTTGAAATTGGAGGGAGAGAGAGATATAGAGAGAGATAGAGAGAGAGAAATGTGGTTTAACGTCCACTCCACTCGACACAAACTAGGTATTTCAGGACTAACATATGGTTCAATTTTATTTCAATTCAATAATTCACTTGCGCGTAGGGGTCTACAGCAGTGGGACGAAACTGGAGGACCCGAAAAAACCCACGAGGTTGGACAGGCAACCCTACTCCTTATCACGTACAACCGGGGAATCGAAACCAAGCCAGTTGATACGACAGACCTTATGATACAACGCTCACACACTAACCATTCGGCCACCCAACCCCCCTTACTTTGAAATTGGAAAAAAAATAAACAGATTTTTCATTCTGAATATCTTATCTATATTCCATCCAGTGCGAATATTCTTAAAAGTGTGAATCCATTTGGATTCATTTACTTTCCCAGTTGGATCATTTTTGTTGCTACTAGGATCAGTCTAGAAAAAATTAGAACAAATATCTGGATGAGTTTCACATTATGTTAGCTGTGGCTATCCCACAACAATTTCTATCGTTAAAAAATTAGTAAACCTGCTTCAATAACCTATCCTAGTTATCCAAATAATTCCAGGATTTATTTATTCTAAATGACGTTGTCAAAGGGTTGGGAATGTAGAACCTATGCAAATACTCATTTTTATAGGGCAATTCTTTCGTCGACATTCTTTTCACACATTACGGAAGCAGTTACTCCGGTGAAACAGAATTACACCTGAGACTTCCAACTGTAAGCCGGTTTCTATGGATACGAAACAACAGTATAATCACACTCAAGCCTTGAGAGTTAGCATAAAAACAAACTGTTAGCTAGCTTTCTGAGAGAAATCTGGGATGGTAACTCATCAGTCCCCATTATATAAATTTCTAATTTTAGATATTAACAATCAATCGGAGTTATCTTACCTTACATTTTAAAACGTAAACAATCAGAGTTAACTTACCTTACATTTTAAAACATAAACAATAGGAGCGAAGGATTCTTTATGTACAATAGGTGAATCATGAGGTAAACCTGTTACTATCGTTGGTTCTACATAAAAACCTGGTCTATCTACAACCTGTCAACATATCAAACAATAATACATTTATACATGGCTGTAGTCAACAACCTATAACACATATAAGGTTAAATTTTGCACAAGGGAGACATTCCTCACAACACCGGCCATGGTGACGAAATCTCGCTTTGATAAACGAGATGATGGTTTATTTTTAGCGCCACTGACACGCACCGCGTGCTAGGGTTAGGGTTGGGTTTGGTCCAAAAATTGGGGTTTGGTCCAAAAATTCTGACGTCATGTGCAATTCAAAGTGATTGACCCCGTGAGGAATGTCTCCCCAGCGACCAAGCTTTACACATACTTACTTATTTGGGCGACATTTCGAATAGTATTCTCTCGTCCAAAGGTTGGACAGGCGACTATACTCCTTGTCACGTACAACTGGGGAATCGAAACCACGCCAGTTGACTCAATGACAGACCTTATGATACAGCGCGCACTTGCTAACCATTCAGCCATCCAACCCCCCCCCCCATCCAAAATGAAATGGGGTTTAATGTCCTACTGTTCTGCTCCCAACTGGGATAGTGAAGACAGGATTTTACCAATATATTATAAATAAATGAATTCCTACCTTGCCCCCACATTCTATTTTACCACCCAGTTTTTGAGCCTCAGCCACAGCCGATTTAAATATATCAACACCTTGTTGGTTGTGCATCGGACCAATCAATGTTCCTTCTATAAATAGAACAATATAATAGACCAATCAATGTCCCTTCTATAAATAGAATATAACAGACCAATCAATGTCCCTTCTATAAATAGAATATAACAGACCAATCAATGTCCCTTCTATAAATAGAATATAACAGACCAATCAATGTCCCTTCTATAAATAGAACAATATAATAGACCAATCAATGTCCCTTCTATAAATAGAATAATATAGACCAATCAATGTCCCTTCTATAAATAGAACAATATAATAGACCAATCAATGCCCCTTCTATAAATAGAATAATATAGACCAATCAATGTCCCTTCTATAAATAGAACAATATAATAGACCAATCAATGTCCCTTCTATAAATAGAATAATATAGACCAATCAATGTCCCTTCTATAAATAGAATAAAATAAAAGACATTAAATGGAAAATGAAACAGGGTTTAACATCCAAGTCGTCTGCTCTGATTGGGCCAATGAAAAAGGGCATACGTCATGCAATATGCTATTGGTGAAATTTCGCACAGAGAGCTTCACTATGGATTACTTTTTTATCAAATATTGTGTATACAGGACCTTGATTTTTCGTCCCATCGATTGACTATATGTTGTCCCTTGTCAGGCCCTCTGTCCTGCGCTAGTGACAAGGGGGGAATCACGTGGGATAAACCTGACGAACTTTCTCGGAAAAGACTTGTAGACGAATGAAATACACAAAATAGAGAGAGAGAGAAATGGGTTTAACATCCACTTGACAAAACTAGGTCATTTTGGGACTAACATATGGTTCAATTTTATTTCAATAATGTGTTTGCACGATGGGGTCTTTAGAAGTGGGAGGAAACCAGAGAACCTGGAGAAAACCCATGAGGTTGGACAGGCGACCCTACTCCTTGTCACGTACAACTGAGGATTCGAAACCACGCCAGTTGACTCAATGACAGGCCGTATGATACAGCGTGCACGTGTTAACCATTTGGCCATCCACCCCCCCTGTTTAAAGAGACAGAATGAAAAGAAATGGGGTTTTAGAAGGTGTATAGGTTTCTATCAACTTACCTTCTAGTGGATCTCCCATACGTAACTGTGAATAGGCTTTCCTTAATTTTTCTACAATATCATCATGGACTTTCTCATGTAATATCTACAAACATAACTAAACATCTAAATAATTAATTAATGAATTCTTGAAAATTAGTAGCGCTACTCTTTACCATTGACGATGATGATGTCCATTGATACACACATGTTATAGTGCGCCCCTTATATATTACCATTTTATAGTGAGACCATGTTATAGTGAGATCATGTTATAGTGGGGCCCTTATATATTACCATGTTATAGTGAGACCCTTATATATTACCATAGTATAGTGAGAACCTTATATACTACCACGTTATAGTCACTCCCTATTACCATGTTACAGTGCAGCCATGATATATTACCATGATATAGTGAGACCCTTATATATTACCACATTATAGTGAGACCATGTTAAGTGAGACCATGTTAAGTGAGACCAAATTAAATTAAAAATAATAAGACATAAAAACAAGACATGATAGATAAAGTAAATAAGAAAGAATATTTGAAGAACAAACCAATCGTCTAGTTGTTGTACATCGTTGACCTGCCGTACCAGCGCAGGCAAAAACAGCTGACCTGACGACCATGTCTACATCAGCATCTTCATTTACTGTAAATATACAAACAATATCAACCATAAATAATAAATCTAATGATACGACATAAAAACTTTCATTTTTATATTTAATGTAATGTAAATTTCTACATGTAATGTAAATTTCTACATTTAATGTAAATTTCTACATTTAATGTAAATTTCTACATATAATGTAAATTTCTACCAAGTCATTTCGGGACTAACATACAGTTCAATTTTTTCCAATAATTCACTTGGGCGTAGGGGTCTTTAGCAGTGCGAGGAAACCTGCATACATTTAGAAAAACCACGAAGTTGGACAGCAATTTTACTCCTTGTCAGTTACAAGCGGGAAGTTGAAATCACACCACTTGAATCAACGACAGAATTAACACGCACACCTGAAACCATTCAGCCACCCAACCCCCTAAAAATCAAGGTCCCTTGTGCATATTAGTAGTGCCTGTAAAAGAGCCCTTGAAGGTCGAAATTTAAAGTAAGAGGAAGCTGTAGCGCCATTGTCCAGGGCAAAATTTCCTTCAGTCAGATTATTATACAAGAAATAAAGTATGCTGTTATAAATCCCCCTCGGCACCATTTAAGAGAGAGATACAGAGAGAGAGAGAGAGAGAGAGAGAGAGGTTTAATGTTGACACAAACTAGGTCATTTCGGGACTAACATATGGTTCAATTTTATTTCAATAATTTGCTTGCGCGTAGTGATCTTTAGCAGTGGGAGGAAACCGGAGGACCCTGAAAAAAACTCACAGGGTTGGACAGGCGACCCTACTCCTTGTCACGTACAACCGGGGAATCAAAACCACACCAGTTGACTCAATGACAGACCTTATGATACAGCATGCATGTGCTAACCATTCGGCCATCCGCTAATAGAGAAGGCCTTGTATAGAGAGATAAATATAAGTGAATCTTACCTACTATGGCGTTATTTCCTCCTAATTCTAATAAATATTTTCCTACAAATAAAAACAAAACCATTGTATATTCGAGATTGTTACATTAACTCATCTAAATAATTTATACACATTAAATAACTTTATGTAACATGGCTGGATGGACGTGAAAAATGTTACAAATCTGATCGGTATATGTTGGTGATAAAAACACACACGCAGAAGACCTCACGGCTCACAGACTAAAGGAATAGTACCTATAGAATGTCCTATGGTCAAAAGACCTCTCAGAATATTTCTATTAAATCAAGGAAAGAAAGAACTCTTGGCATTTTTCAGACAGACCAAAAAGAAATTTTGGGATTTGCACTCAAACCAAAAAAGAACTTGGGGAGATTTTGCCGTCAAACCTAAAAGAACTTTCTGGATTTTGCCCTCAAACCTAACAGAGTACATATCATTTAAGGTCAAAAACCAATCAGAAAATAAATAGTACCTACCATATCTTTCATTGACTAGTTTAGAAACAGCATGGCCAGCCTGTATGAATAGAAATTATAAACTTTATTTGTATATATCCCTATGAAACTTATATCAGATCTGCAGTTTGGAAAAGTAAAGTACTTGATTCAATGAAAGATAGCGAGACTGGGTGGTCACATGGTATAACATGTACGCTTTAGATCATAAAGTCTGTGGGGGGTTTGACGGCCGAATGGTTAGCGCGTGTGCGTTGTATCATAAGGTCTGTCATTGAGTCAACTGATGTGGTTTCTATTCCCCGGTTGTACGTGACAAGGAGTAGGGTCGTCTGTCCAACCTTGTGGGTTTTCTCCCACTGCTGAAGACCCCTATGCGCTAGCGAATCATGAAATAAAACTGAACCATATGTTAGTCTCGAAATGACCTGGTTTGTGTTGAGTGGACGTTAAGCCATTCGACCCCCCCACCACCACCCAACTCCCCGATATGGGTCACTTTCTTAACCATGTGGGTTTCCCATAGGGTCCTCTTGTTACCTTTAACTGCTAAAGACCCCACCGTGCAAGCAAATTATTAAAATAAATATGTTAGTCCCAAAATGACCTAAATTCAACAGGAGTTGAAGGAAGAAGACGAGAAATAATTTTACCTGACAACTTCCAGTAAAAGATAATAATTTCACTCGTTCATCTTTAGCCATGGCTGACCTACAATCAAAAAAAATAAATGTAAATATCCCCATGTTTGTTATTGGGAAAATAACAAGATTGTGACAGATATTATTTCGTTTCTTTTTTTATAGTTCAAAATTTTGTTTTACTAGTCTTAACTACACTAGGATCTGGAGGAGTTGTTATCATTGACGTGTTCAGGATGATGTGGGGGATTAGCCAATGAAACGGTCTGTTACGGTGTAGTGTAGGCCATCGAAAGTATAAAAAACGAAATATAGATCTATATTTTAATTAGATTGAGATTGTGAAAGGTTTTTGTTGTTTTTTAGTTAATAATAAGAGTGTTTTACAAATTGAGTTTGGAATGATGCTAAAATCACAAGATGTAAGGATCACAAATCCAAAACAAATGATAATATCACCTGCCTAGCTCATGTTAGAATAAAGAAACAGAAAGACCATCTCCTTTACTAATTACGCACTTAAACCGCAACACTTCAAACTGCCCTAAATAGGGCTCCTTAGACATGCCTCAAATCACTCTAACTTAAACCACCTGGTCATATGCACAGTTGCAGTGCATGCAAAATGATTCTATAACGCTTAAAACTATTCACATATCTTGAGCAGTTTGAGTTGGTCTAAGGAACAGCGGTTTTGGTAATGTAACAGTATTAAACATACATTATACAAGAGCTAAATCTGCCTATTTCAGGTCTTTCTTTAGGCCTGAAATGTTATCTAAATCATTAATTAGACATTAATTAACTTATCCAGACCATAATCAACTCTAGATGTCATCGTTAGCCTGGAATCCGACCTACTGCTCAACACTCATTGATGATTAAATCAAAAAATGGATAATCAAGACTATGTTTTTTTATCATACTGACTTTAATAATGATGATCGAGGCTAGGCCTAAAATTCAAATGCTAAATTCTCGGTTCAGAGTGGATATATTTGACTGAAAATTTCTTCAAGGAAATGAAATGAAATGGGGTTAAACGCCCTACTGTTCTGCTCCAAACTGGGCTAATGAAGATGGGCATACACCATACAGTGTGCTATAAGGTAAATTTTACCCGGACAGTGGCACTACGGCCTACTCTTATATCGAATTTTACCTGCCAAGGGATCTTTTACGTGCACGACAATGAGTACATGGGACCTCGGTTTTTCGTCCCATCCGAATGACTAGACAGCTGTCCTTGTCAGGCCCTCCGTCCTGAATCACTGACAAGGGGGAACCATGCCGGAAAATCTGGATGAACTTTCTTGGCCAATGCAGGGATCGAACACCCGACCTCCAGGCTAGCGAGCCAACATCTTACCCACCGTGACCCCCGTTCTTTAAGGAACAGGGGTAGTCAATATTAACATGTATCAATTAGTGATAAAGAGTTAAATCTGTACTAGAAATATATCTTACCCCACATCCACTCCTCCACATACCATAGCACAAACACTTCCTGGTAAATTATTCTTTTCTAATACAGACGCTAATATTCTGAAACACACATCGCATAAATCATTTATATTTCTGCTGTCAAAATGTGAGTTGGTCTATTTATAAGCTTGTGGAGTTGGGAAATACTGACGAGCAAAGCAAAGCCTAAGGTTCATTGACTGCAACCGATCAGTTGCGTTACTTCCAGTCACTTTGTCGATGTACGCCTTGCTTTAGACAGTGCCTATGTGGAGATTTAAATTCCGATTCCCATCCAACATGACTCCATCTACATTCATCCCCCAACCAACATGATGCCATCTTCCCCACTGAACATGCATCCCACCCAACATGACACAATCTATCCCAGCAAACATGATGCCATCTACCCCACTCAACATGATGCCATTTACCCCAGCCAACATGATTCCATCTTTCTCATGAACATGTCATCTACCCCACCCAACATGACGACATCTATCCCAACCAACATGACACCATCTTCCCCACTGAACATGACATCATCCTCCCCAACCACCGCCCAACATGACACCATCCTCCCCATGGACTACGATGATCAACAATACTAAACATAACATAAAACATGAGACCACCAGCATGAAATAAATCTATGAATTTCAGATCCATTTTCGTTGTTTTTTGACGTCTTTAAATTGGCCACGTTACTCAGTGAGTATGGCTCATTAACCATTAAATGAAATATTTATTATTAGATTTAGCCATCAAGTCAATTTATAAACTAAAGGAGTTATCCTACCTTGTAACAGCTACACTGGTCAATGGAGTAGATGGTGCTCCTTTCCTATCAAAAATAAAATCAAAAATTAAAACTTAGAATAATAAGGAGAAGAATTTAATGGACTTCATAAAAATATTGAAGAAAAATTTCAGGTTACCGATTTTTACGATTATAATATTACACATTTTCACTAAAATAAAAATAGATTTATCTTCTTAAACCTTTAGCAAATGATACTTGTTAATATTGATGACCAAGGTTCCCTTAAAAAAGCAGAGAAAACTGATGTTTTTTTAAACTGAATTTAAAGCTATTTTTTAAAATTGCCAGAAACTCCTGCTCTGTAGCCTGTCTCAACCCATCTGTTTCACAGAACTAGGATACATTCATCTAATAGTCAACAGATATTCACTTGAAATAGGGCAGTTCATGCAGTAGTATTGGGCAGTTTCATACAGTACAAGTGCTCAAGGTGTTAATGGTCTGGTGGTTGTGAATTTATGAGACCAAGTTTTTCTAGACCAATTTATTGCATAGATTCTATATCTGTGTGGTGATTAGGCGTTTGTGGGGGCATTTTCAAGATATGGGTGGGGGGGGAAGGGGTGCAATGTTCATGTTATATATTGATAAGTTTCTAGGACTGTTTTGATTTGTGGCGAGGTGGGTTGGGTGGTTGCAGGTGTGTGGAGGGGGAGTGGGGTAATATTGTAGACATTGGACCCCGCATATCTCGAAACGCCCCCTCAAACGCCTGATCACCACCCAGATTTGGAATCTACGCAAAAAACTGGTCTAGAAAAACTTGGGTCTCATAAATTCACAGCTCGGGTGGCGATTCTCCCCTCCCCCCTTCAACCACTGGACTATAATGGTCAGATACACTGGTCTGCTACACTGCTTGATGAGAAGTTGACATGGCTAAGAAAGGTAACTCACCATAACATAACATTACCACAGACAAGAGCGATGGCTGAATTCCATCCGTACGGAGCAACAGGAAAGTTAAAAGCTGTAATACATCCTACAACACCTAGTGGGTTCCATTGTTCCATTAACGCATGACCGGGTCCTAAAATATAGAGTTATCAATTCATGTAAATAGAGAGAGATAGGGTTTAATGTCCACTTGACACAAACTAACACATAGTTCAATTTCATTTCAATAATGCACTTAACATAGGGGTCTTTATTAGTCGGAGGAAAGCGGAGGAGCCCGAAAAAAACCATGAGGTTCGAACGGTGACCTTACTCCTTGTCACGTACAAGCGGGGAATCGAAACCACACCACTGGACTCAATGACAAATCATTAACCATTCGGCCACTCAAACCTCCAGATAAATTTAGAATACAGCACTCAGTATGGTCAGATTAATCATAGTGAAGTATAATTATTACAAAAACTAACGGCAACGAGTGGTCCGAGAGTATGATGATTTGATAAGAACTTACTTTCTGAAGGAAATATCGAACCAGCAAACATTCTGGACAATCCCACGGCATAGTCTGCTATATCTACATATTCTTGTACTTCTCCTATACCCTCTGGTAATATCTTACCCATCTCTAACGCAACCTAAACATAAACATAATATATCACTGTGGTTACTATTACCATGGTAATATCTATAATGCAACCTAAAAATAATATATTACTGTGGTTACTGTTACCATGGCAATATCTCTAACACAACCTTAACATAAAATATCACTGTGGTTACTGTTATCATGGTAATATCTCTAATGCAACCTAAACATAATATATCACACTTTGGTTACTGTTACCATGGCAATATCTCTAACACAACCTAAACATAATATATCACTGTGGTTACTGTTACCATGGTAATACCTCTAACATAACCTAAACATAATATACATCACTCTGGTTACTGGAATGGAAAAAGGTCATTTGAATGGGATGGACAAAACAGGTCCTGTGTACACATTGCTGTGCAGGGCTAGAAACCTCTTGGTTAATGGAATTTGATTCAAAGAGTCTCACACATCGATGCTCTAACAATTACAAAATATATTCTTCAAAGAGGAAAAATGAAAGAGTAATTCTCCAAATTATGTGTATTTACCAATTTTCCCAGTGGTTTAAGGTGATGACGCAAGGCTTCTCCCATCTGTCGAACTATTTCACCTCTTTTCGGGCCAGGAATCTGAACAAAACAAAAACAATACATCAATTGGTTAAATCAAATTGTTAAATTCATCGTTAATCCACAATAAAATCTACTCAAATTGGTTACTCAAAATGATCTCATGGCTTCGATTCAAGCAGATCAAAAAGCAAGAGAGAGAAATGGGGTTTAACATCCACTCGACACAAACCAGGTCATTTCGGGATTAACATATGGTTCAATTTTATTTCAATAATTCGCTTGCACGTAGGATTATTTAGCAGTGGGAGGAAACCAGAGGACCCAGAGAAAAACCACAAGGCTGGACAGGTCACCCTACTCCTTGTCACGTACAACCAGGGAATCGAAACCCCGCCAGTTGACTCAATGACAGACCGTATGATACAGCATGCGCGTGCTAACCATTCAGCCATCCACCCCCCCCCCCCACCCCATCTGCAGAGGAGGCTGAATGTTAACAAGTTTTAATTCATCATTTTTATCTTTGTAAATACTGAACAGAATTGAACCATTTTTGGGAAGGGTATTCCATTTAGAAATTCAACTTTCACAGTATTGTAGTTTACATGGTATTAAAAGGTCCTCAAATGTTGATTAGAGTCTTGTGTTAATTAGATACAGTTTTCAAATAATATATTTTTTATGGTGTAAAATATTTCAACTTACATCAACCCAAATATTCCAGGCTTCTTCTGCTGATTTGATGGCTTTTTCATAATCACTGACATTCCCCTGGAATAAAAAAACAACTTTTAAGTGATGTGATGTAGGTCAATATTTATCTTAGTGTTATAAATTCTGATCAATTCCATGTTATTTGAATACATTATTACATGTCTGTTCAATTATAACTGTACCCAAGTCTGAGACAAATCGGCTTGGGAAGGTCACTGAGAGAGAGAGAGAGAGAGAGAGAGAGAGAGAGAGAGAGGCGGGTTTTAATGTCCACTAGACACAAACTAGGTCATTTCGGGACTAACATATGACTTAATTTTATTTCAATAATTTGCTTGCACGTAGGGTTTTTTAGCTTTGGGGGAAAAAAAAAATGAGGACCCGGAGAAAACTCACAAGGTTGGACAGGGGACCTTACTCCTTGTGGGGAATCGAAATCCTGCCACTTGACGGACCTTATGATCCAACGTGCAGATATTAAGCCATTCGCTCCCAGTCCCATTTTGATTTTCAAGAGTGAGACATTAACATACGGTAATAGAAGGTAATATATTAATAGTATACTATATTTACCAACCTGTGTAACTTTAGCTATTGGTTGATTATTGGCTGGTGAATATGATGTAATTTCCTGTAAATAAAACATAATAATACATGAAACGGAGGGATTAATGTTTGACTTTATTAACCAATAAATACATGTCACAGGGTCGTTATGAAGAACATGCCAAAGGCAGGCAAGGTTCTTTATTAACCAATAAATACATGTCACAGGGTCGTTATGAAGAACACGCCAAAGACAGGCAAGCTTCTTTATTTCAGGTTACCGGTACTCAATATAATAAATATATGATCTTAAATTACCTGCAAAACAACAATTTCCACCAAATACAGATAAACAATATTAAGGAAAATAATATTATACTTAACATAGACATATGATAGCCGTTCATACTGTACTTTAATTTATACGAATGTAGATCGAACACAGATCGAACACGTCATACTTAAAGGAGCGAAATCGCTAACATTTGGGACCTAGAAATTCACAAAAGTGGGTCGCAACGCATATAATACTGTAATATGAATGTATATAAACTGATTTACATTTAATGGTTTCCGTTTTTACTCCAATTTAAAATCAGTTATGTTCGGCGAAATAAGTCAGCAAGCTCATCGAGTGCAAATTTCTAGCGTCTAGTTATTCTAGTCTACATAACTCCATTTGATTTGGTGCAATGTGTCTAGCCTCGTCCCTCGAGTCTCTCAATACAACTGGGGCTGAAGCGCATTATGGTACACGATTCGTGTACCAATGTTAAAAAAATTATTTTATCTTAAATATCGGATATCAGAAGCTCATCTTTTCCCGGTAAGTTTACATCATCAATGTTGATTTAAGTTGACCAATAATTCGTGTTTTCGATGTCGAAGATTTTGGAGGATTTTGAGTTACGGACTTAGGTCCTTTAAACTAATCAACAACTGTAAAGCTATCAATGATAAATATATCATCACATATTTTTTTAATTCTTTTAAATTGGGCTGACCCCTAAATATTAATGTTTGTTAAGTATATTACTTTCCGGATTGTAAAAGAAACATTTTCCAAAATTTGTGACCACCGCAACCTACGATAATGAAGACAGTATGAATTGCCATTCAGTGTGATATGAGGGAAATATTACTCAGACAGCATCACTATTAATGGTCGTCTCTACTTTTTTGATTTTCAACTGTCAGGGCATCTTTAAGGTGCATGTCACAGGATCTTGGTATATTGTCCCATCCAAATCACTAGACATTTTTCCTTTGCCAGGCCCTGTCCAGCACTGGTGACACAAGGGGAGACAAGTGAGTTATGTCAATTTATGATTAGAAATAAAATGAAATGGTGTTTAAAAGGTCCTACTGTTCTGCTCTGACTGGGCTAATGAAGACAGGCCTACGCCATACAGTGTGCTATAAGGAAAATTTTGACCAGGCAGCAGCACTATGGCCTACTCTTATATTGAATTCCAACCGCCAAGGGATCTTTTATGAGCATGTCAATGTATACATATAGGACCTCTGTTTTTCATCCCGTCCAAATGACTAGACAGCTATCCTTGTCAGGCCCCTGCATCCTGTGCCGCTGACAAGGGGAAAACCACGTCGGAAAATCAATTTATGATTAGAGACTGTACAATAATTATTACATAATTTAAACTATCAATAATTAATATAATCATTGTTTACATAATATTATTAAAACAATAACACTGCCACCACGTGTTGAAATAACATGTCAATAAAACATTTCAACCAATCACAGACCTTACAATAAGTCACACCTCCACAAGTCCTTGACCTCTTGCTGAAAGGAAAATGTGGTCAATTTTCCATTCATGACCTGGTAAAACTGATAACAATCGCTGACAATAACATTTCTTATCAATTTTACACAATTGACCTTTCACCTTCAAGTACATGACGCATGACAACGATTAACAAACATTTCAGCCTTTGGGACTTAGAAATGCCCGAGTTGTTCGATTAAAAATTGACAAATGCTAACCTCGCCATTTCCGAACCAAGTTCCGGTGTAAACTCCTGGATTAGTTGTCGACAGCCCCAGATCTTTTAAGAACGAGTATTTTGGATCATCAATGAGAAAGCCTGACATCGCGGAATAATTTCTTGTTTGTAAAATTGAAGAAATTCTAATACTACTGAAGCGAAGACAGTTTGCAACTCTTACAATGGTCGCCATTGGGAACGTTCCTAATTGCGGGTGTGATGCTCGATAAGATTGCCGCAAAGTTACGATGGCATTTCTATTCTAACATTTATTTAAAAGCTCTGCCTTGTTTTCACAACAGTGGTATGAATTTATTTCTTCCACGGGAATGTCTCAACCAACCGCAACAGCTTACATGATATGTACCTCTTTAACCCCCCTTGGGAAAAATGAACTTGTCCAAAATCTTTCCCCGATTACCATGACCCTTTAAAGTCACTGTGCGTCATAATCGTTCTGACAGAAGCAAATGTTTTCCAACAAAATCTCCATAGTTCCAATTTTTAGAATGTTATTTTTACACAAAAAAATAGGTTGCCAGGCAATGAAATATACGCCCACAGCAGTTAAATCGTCCGATAAGGGTTCTACAAACTGAAACAAGGGCCTTAAAATTAACTCTGGAAGTAATTTACAGAAAATTTTGAAATTGGACAGGATTTTTCGTTTTACTAATTTAAATACATGTAATGCATATAAATTTCATACAGATCGGCAGATAACTTTTGGTGTTAGAGCAACTTGGGAGGAAACTGGAAGACCCAGAAAAAACCCATGGTTGGACTGGCGACAGATACAAATGGCTAGATTGGAATACAGCAATTATGTGTATCATATTCATGTTTAAAGTACAGATGTAACGTCATCCTCTGCTTTTGGCGTACCATTATTTCAAATATAAATGGTAGGGCAATGTGCCAAGCGTACATTATTTATACTAGTTGAAATATTGGACCCGCATGACGTATTTCATTAAAATGAACATGCTGGATAGTGTCTGTATTTTAAGTTGTTTAATTGTCTCGTGCAAGACATTGCGTAATATATAGATACTAGCAGGATATCCGGCTTCGCTCGGGGATCATAACTCCGAAACCGTAAGTGGTAGACTAACGCCACCTGGCCTATGTTACTCCCTGGTCCGAGCTACCCCTATACCCCAAATTTCAGACTCAGGGCAGACCTAGTGTAGCCGCCAACCCCGAATAGACCGGCTTCGTTCGAGGGTCATAACTCCGAAACCGGAAGTGGTAGACTAACGCCACCTGTCCTATGTTACTCCCCGGTCCGAGCTACCCCTATACCCCAAATTTCAGACTCGGGGCAGACGTAGTGTAGCCAACAACCCCGAACAGACCGACTTCGCTCGGGGGTCATAACTCCGACTCGGGGGTCATAACTCCGAAACCGGAAGTGGTAGACTAACGCCACCTGACCTATGTTACTCCCTGGTCCGAGCTACCCCTATACCCCAAATTTCAGACTTGGGGCAGACCTAGTGTAGTCGCCAACCCCGAACAGACAGACAGACAAACGACAGTCACAAATATATATATAGATAGATAGCCCTCGTACAAAATCTATATATTACTCGACCATTAAACTACACATAATGAATCTATGACATTAAATCGAGGCTCCAGCAATAAGGTGTCATGTTTTAGTGAATCTATGACATTGGGGGCCCAAGCGATTAGCTATTTCACCGAATAAATTGACAAAAAGCCCTACCCAGCAGAACGTTAACTTGCATTCCAAATTTCTCCATTAATCCCCCTCCTGCTCATAGCCCCAAATCAACATTTTCTTTATTTAAATCTTGATGCAAACTACAATATTGTGAAAGATGAATCTCTAATGGTTCAATTCTGTTCAGTATTAGATATAAATGAAATGAAATGGAGTTTAACGTCCCACTGTTCTGCTCCAAACTGGGCTAATGAAGACAGGCATACGCCATACAGTGTGCTATGAGGGAAATTTTGCCCGGACAGCGACACTACGGCCTACTCTTATATCGAATTCCAATTGTCAAGGGATCTTTTAAGTGCACACGACTAGACAGCTGTCCTTGTCAGGCCCTACGTCCTGCATCACCGACAAGGGGGATATTGGTATTTTGATTTTTTCTTTCTTACATAATCAATCTGAATACATATTAGACATGAGAAATTTCATATTTTATCGACAAATACGAATGGTGCATCAGGATTTTAAGAAATCAAAATGCGTCTTGTTTGTATAAATTAGTAATAGAGAGAGAGGGAGAAATGGGGTTTAACGTCCACTCGACACAAACTAGGTCATTTCGGGACTAACATATGGTTTAATTTTATTTCAATAATTCGCTTGCGCGTATGGGTCTATAGCAGTGGGAGGAAACCTAAGGACCCGGAGAAAACCCACGTGGTTGGACAGACGACTCTACTCCTTGTCACATACAACCAGGGAATCGAAACCATGCCAGTTGAATTTAGTAATAGAGATGGTAAGCATTTCCAACTTTTAAATAAATGAAGAAATAAAACATGTGAAGATTTACATATAGTTTTTTTATTTCATGTCTTTTACAGCACTGGATTGTAAACAATAATATATATATATACATAATAAATAAACGTAATATACATCAACACAAAATCAGGCACAAAAAATACACAGCGTAGAATTTGTTGCTATTTTAAGCAAGAAGGTAAAATATGTTGAACAAAGTATGTGGGCCTGTTAACAATCGTTCAGTCACATCGCTTTTCACTAAAAGATCCATACAGAAATTTAAACTCAATCAAGGGTCTTTCAAGGCCTGTCCTGATATTTTATAGGCCTAGTTCAAAAAGCAAGGCATACTAGTAGATTTTATTAACAGAAATCCAAAAGTGTCTGCAGGACTTTTGAAATTTTCAGACGACCATCACTACCACAAACCCTTGATAAGGGGGAATTGGCTGTAAAATCTCATCCCCACCAATTAAATGACCATTTCAATCATCTTCTACTTTTCAGGACTAAGTTGTATCCCATTCAGAATATTGTTTTACTAGATACACAAATATACACAAGTCTGAATATCTCCATTCTCACTTGGCTATATTCTAAAGATATAATTGTTCGTAAAATAAAAATGCTCCAACATAACTAGGATACAGTCTAAAGAACCAAGAAACCCACGAGAATGACTGGTATAATTGTTCTGTTTGTTTATTTCTTCCCCTGTGAAGCTATTTCTAGATTTGTGACTGTCTCATCCCATTTGACAAACTGTTTTGACAGTAGAGTTACCTACATCTGGGTTAAGGAAATTAGAGCAAACTTACAAGTTTATGTACTGATATAAGGTTCAGAGAGAGAGAGAGAAATGGGGTTTAACATCCACTCAACACAGACTAGGTCATTTCGGGACTAACATATGGTTTAATTTTATTTCAATAATTTGCTTGCGCGTAGGGGTCTTTAGCAGTGGGAGGAAACCGGAGGACCCAGAGAAAACCCATGCGGTTGGACCCTACTCCTTGTCACGTACAACCAGGGATTCGAAACTATGCCAGTTGACTCAATGACAGGCTTTATGAAACAGCGCGCATGCACTAACCATTTGGCCATCCAAACCACCGATATAATGTTCAGGTGTTAATAAGCCAGGGTTGTTGTTAGTGGGTGGATAAAACACTATACGTTGGTGGAGGGGGAGACTTGTCATTATGATTGGAAATGATATGGGGGTTTAATTGCCTACTTTTCTCAACAACACAGTGTGCTATGAGGTAAAATTGGACAGCGGCGCTTTGGCTTATACTAATTCCAAATGTCAAGGGATTTTTTATGAGCATGTACCAAAGTGCATACAGGGCTTCAATTGTTTGTCCCATTCGAACATATAGACACTGTTCTTGTAAGGCTCTCTGTCCTGCACCCATGTAAAATTCCACAAAAACCTTGATCCACCTTGAGACCTGGTTATTGAAACAGCACCTTAAACACTGAGCCATTGGATAACACACTTTACCCAGTTTGATTCATGTTAGGTGGATAAAACAATTTACCCAGTTTGAGTCAAGTTTATCAGGTGGACAACTCTCTTTACCCAGTTTGAGTCATTTTGTTTGGGTGGATCACTACTCTTTATGCCATGCTTGTCAGCAGGATAAAATTTCTCCAATCAAACCAGTCATGTTTGGCAAGACAAATAAAATTCTCCACCCAATTTCAAGAATGGTTGTTGGGTGGATAAAAACTGGATTGTTATTGATGTCAAAGTTTTTGTGTTGTTTATATGAAGGATACAATGGTATTGTAGGAATCTAATAATTTCTGTACATCTTCTGTTACTAATGCAGCTTGATCCTAAAAAATACAAAACATAGAGATTTAAAGTCCACTCGCTCATAAACTAGGTCATGGTGGGACCATAGGCGTACGAGCTGGGGGGGCTGGGGGGCGGCCGCCCCCCCATTTTGGGCTCCAAATGCTGGGAAAATTTGGGCACACAATTGTACTTTGTAAAAGTTGTATAAAAGAATATTGTGTTCTTGAATGTGTCCAACAGCGAATTTAAATTCAGAGTGTCTATAGTTAGGCAATTAAATAGAAATCTTAAGACTCGTACCCTCTATTGTTTGGAGTACAGTAAGCCACTAATTACAGTTACATAAACAACTGTTTTTAGTTGTGTATATTACAAGTAAATAAAATTTAGTTCTCTTTTATTGATGATTTAGAAATTAAGAACTTATTCATCGCAAAAGAGGTATTATTATTATTATGTAACATACTAAGAACCTAACTACATTTTTGGGGCACCAACCACCACCCCCAGTCAAAAATTTCCCCGTACGTCTATGGGTAGGACTAACATATGGTATGAAATTCAATAATTCACTTGAATGTGGAGGTCTTTAGCATTGAAAGGGAACCAGAAGATCAGGAAAAACACCAATGTGGTTTGGTAAGCGACCCTACTCTTTGTCACATGACAAAAGCCTGGGAAAAAAAAAACCCTCAACACTTGACTCTATGACAGATATTATTATTTGAGGTGCAGATGTAAGACTACTTGGTCACCCAACCCTAAAAGTAAACAAATCAAGTTTTGATAGTGTCAATGTAATGCTGCACTTGTGAAATCAAGATTCATCAAAAAAATGCCTAGTTTCTGCTACCATGTAGTTTAAGAAACACCGTTTAGTTTTGACATTGGTTGTCTAGTTTATGACCATTTAGTTTAGTTTTGATATTGGTCGTCTGGTTTATGACCATTTAGTTTCATAAACTAGAAAACCGATGTCAAAACTAAACAGTGTTTCTTAAACTACACGTAGCACAAACTGGATGTTTTTTGATGAATCTTGACGACGGCATTTAACACTTTCTGGATGGCAATCTATTAACTGGATACGAGTATTAGATTCTAGATTGTAAGCTCAGTTTCTTTCCTTTTTTCATCAAATCTGAATGATACCCGTCCCTAGTGTATGTTTTTGATTGGTTTGTAGAAACAACCTATGTGATCAATGAAATCGTCAAGGGCAGATAATTTGAATTCGTGAATATTCCGTGAATAGACCTAGGGGTTTGCGAAGTAAAACGGAAGGATATCACCGGAGATACCGAGGATGGGGAAACCTCAATATGTTTCAAAAGATTAAGTTGAAGTTGGCTTATTTTTGTAAATTAAGATGTTACACTGGCCCCTAAAAATTGTTTTATTTAAGTACCTGTTGGTTTATGTGAATTTGACTCAATTCATGAAGTTTACTGGAAAATTTAGGAACAGCTGAAATTATAAACAAATATTTTCTTTAAATTACATTACTCCATTATACAAGTGTAATACAGAATGGATTTCATTATTTAAAATGGAGGTCACTCTTATACCAAAACCTGCTGTAGTGAAACCTTATTCTGTTCCAGCTGACAGTGACCTCAGGCTTCCTAAAAGGAGAGTCATAACAATTTTTAAGGGGTAAATATTATGAAAACAGATTTAATTTTCTTTTCAGACCTGCAGGTGTTGCCCTTGACAAGATTTTTAAACCACTGCATACTCTGCTTACAAGGGGATTTAAACCTGGGGCATTCTAGATACGTGTGACCACCGTATTCTTCTATCTTAACAATCAGATTCCTGTATTTATTATTCCGGGGCATTTAAATTCTGTGTTCTATGAGATCATAATGGGAAATTCTAGTGTACAGTCCTGTATTCTAATAGTAAGTGCAGGAGGACCGCACTACACATAAAACAAAAATCTACAAGATAGACCTGCGGACAATACAGAAAATAGACATTGCACCAAATAAACAAATATCAAATCAAATGAATGGATCCGTGGGCCAGCCGTAAGCATCCACTGCGCTGTACAGTCCCGGGCCTGTAGTGACACAGACTTCACTCAAATTTGAAAACAATCAGGAATACAAAAAAGACGTAACAACAGAAATAATGCGACCAATCTTGACAGTGGTCGTCTCCTCAATGGCGATAGTCTGCCAGTTGACGTCAAGAGCTAGAACGTCAAACAATTTTAACAATAATCCGGATAGAATCTCGGAAAACGCTAAAATAATAAGTGTAGTGAGCAAACAGGAGCAAAACCCGACAACAAGAACATTCTGCAGTGCGAAGGGTTAAAATTTATGGGCACTGCAAAGTGAAAAGATTGTTTTGTCTGTTGAAGTTTGCGGCAGGAATAACTAATAATGTACAAGTTACCTTTAATATGTTCACTGTGTATCATTTCTTCTAGTTGTTGCATGGTATCAAGTCTAGCTGCTTGTTGTTTCAAAAACTCTTCTTCTACAACAATAATCACACACAATTAACTCAGTTATTTTCTTACCTTACATGTGATCTATGACTCAAGGCAAGTTTAAAGATCCCGAGAAAGTATTTACATATTGTTATTTCTAATAAAAGAATGACATATTTGATACATTCTTACAAGAAAAATACTGGATTCCTGAACCACACCCATTGGGCACCCACAAAACAAAAATGTATAGAAAGCCTGCCTGCTTGAGTGATGTTAGGAGCACTTCTTTTTAGTGCAAATACATGTATATCATCAAATCACAGTTTGTATGTGGGAAGATATTTTCTATCAAAATCACATTTTCAGCATGCGTGTTACAAAATGTTCCAGATTCTTCTACAACAATAATAACACACAATTAATATAAGATACAAGTTTAAAGATCTCAAGAAAGTATTTATAATGTAAACAGAAAAATGTTAGAAAATTTTCCAGATTCAGCCAGTAATTCTGTCAATTTGAAACATTCCTAAGGGACAATCGAATACTCCTCAGACATTTTTTTTATTCCCTGGCTTTTAAATCCCAGGTTCGAATATACCGGTCACATTACCTGCTAGAACTGTGTCAGTTTTCGCTGATTCCGATAGAGTTATCTCGTCCGAGTAGGCTGGATCTAAACACATCTTTAAATCACCAACTATAAACAAAATATAATAATCTTATCATACATAAAGATAGGTTGCCAGACAACAAAACATAACAATCTTATCATACTTAAAGATAGGTTGCCAGACAACAAAACATAGTAAACTTAAACATACATTATGCAAGAGCTAAACATGTACATTCCATCAATGGCTAGGCCCTAAGTACATGTAACTGGATGGTCTGATCAAGTAAAATTGAAATATTGTTGTTCTAGCCAGCAAAGATACGGCCAAAGACCACTGCACACAAGTGTATAACTCCATTTCAATCTCTCTTTTGATCTTGATGTACATGAGACAAATACAGAGAAATGAAATGAAATGAAATGGGGTTTAACGTCCTACTGTTCTGCTCCTATACTGGGCTAATGAAGACGGGCATACGCCATACAGTGTGCTATGAGGGAAATTTTGCCTGGGCAGCGGCACTATCGCCTACTCTTATATTGAATTCCAACTGCCAAGGGATCTTTTACGTGCATTCCAATGTATACACAGGACCTTGGTTTTTCGTATCATCCGAAGGACCAGACAGCTGTCCTTGTCATGCCCTCCGTTCTGCACCACGTCGGAAAATCCAGATGAACTTTCTCGGCCAATGCAGGGATCGAACACCCGACCTCCAGGCTAGCGAGCCAGCGTCTTAACCACCTAGCCACCGTGGCTCCCCGGAGTGTTTAACAGTGGGAATTATACATTTATTGAGAGAGCGAGTGAGTGAGAGAGAGGTGACATAACCTGTTTATTTACCTTTACTGAATGTTTTAGGTATTCTCTTTTTGCCCGTAATGGCCGCTGATAATTTATTATTTATTTCAACTAGACTCTCAATACACTGAAAACATAAATAAATATAAAATCATCGATATCCCACGCTTCTACAACTAAACTTATTCTTCAAATCATCAATACTTCAATTGATTTTAACATCATTTTATGGTTTGGATTATCTACGCTTCTTCTTACCAATCTGATTACAATACAGATCTTCATTTCGATGGCCTACACTACATGAAGATCTGACCAGTTGGAGTGGGAGGTCATGTCAGGGGTCATACACACGGCTTTTGACCCTACGACGCCAGACATTGATTAATCAATCAGCGTTGACATTTCTAGGGGTTTATCCACAGTTCTGTGCAGAGTATGGCAAGAACTCACCGTAACAGACAGTTTCATTGGCTAATTCCTAACTCTTCCAGATCCTAGTGTTGTGAAGAGAAGTAAAACAAAATTTTGAACTATAAAAAATGAAACGAAATAGGATCTTTGTTTTAATCACATTGGCTTCTGAATGATGGCTGATCAACAGTATTGTGTTATGGACAAGGCTGCTGTTTTATAAACAGATCTAATGACGGCTAATCAACAGTATTGTGTTATGGAGGAGCCTGAAGTTGGTTCATGGATGGATCTAATATATAATTCAGTATAGCTGCCGATTGAAAAGTCTAGTGTTATGCACCCAGCACGAGGCTGTAGTTGGTTCATGAATAGATCTCATCTATATTTCAGAATAGCTGCCGATCGACATGTCTAGTGTTATGCACGTAGCACGAGACTGTAGTTGCAGGTTCATGAATAGATCTGTGGACAAGATTTTGGTGTGATTAGAAAAGTTGAGTTTTCATGGTCCATTTACGCCATACAGTATGGTCGCGGCACAATGATAAAACTTGCAAGGTGTTAACTAAAAGTCCAGTAAAAGTAAAGGGATAAAAACGACAGCCGTGTTATGTAATGAAATCCGATTGATATAACTGTCGAAACGTCCTACTGTTTTTCTCCAAACTGGGCTAATGAAGACGGGCATACGCCATACAGTGTTGTGCAATGAGGGAAATTTTGCCCGTACAGCGGCACTACGGCCTACTCTTATATCCAACTGTCAAGGGATCTTTTATGTGCACGCCAATGTGTACATGGGACCTCAGTTTTTCATCCCATCTGAACGACTAGACAGCTGTCCTTGTCAGGCCCTCCGTCCTGCATCACTGACAAGGGGGAACCATGCTGGAAAATTGGGATGAACTTTCTCGGCCAATGCAGGGATCGAACACCCGCCCTCCAGGCTAGTGAGCCAGCATCTTACCCACTTAGCCACCGTGATCCCCGCCTGTTTAAGGCCAACACGGTATATTGTTCTATCTTTTTACACCATCCGCTGTTCAAGAATTCAAGATAATAGTTTTATCGTCTCGTTGTTATAACAATAAAATCAATTTAAAGTTTTAGATTTGAAGAATAAAGTTCCCATCACTATGGATACTGACTGATCAACACTACTAGCGTTTCTAAAGATTACATGCCAGCAAGGTCAAGGGCATAGTTAGTTTATATATCAGTGTATTTGTGACATTCATGCCTCTACTTTATGATTTTAAATTAAAATATTAGTAAACTTCAATTGAAACAGTCTTAAAAGAAGATAAATTTAAATAGAATGTGACAACTAATAAATAAATTTACATTTTAAAAACGGAAAATGCATGCTTTAAAAAATATTCACTGCTTTACCGGACAATGTTTAGTTTCAACTGGATAAAACAATAAAACGATCAAGCATGCTTGAAAACATATTTGACAAAAAATTGAATGAAATGAAATGGAGTTTAATGTCCTACATCAGCTCCAACTGGGCTAATGTAGACTGGTATATGCGGCACAGTGTGCTAGGAGACATAAAAAAAGGTCTGGAATAAATGAGACTACAGCTGATGCAGCTTCGTATGTTCATCACTTAAATAAAGTGATAATTTTCGTGAATCTAAGATACTTAAACTACAGGTGAAGAACTAATTACTATGCCTATTGTACCTGAATTTATTTTGACTACAGGTGAATCATTAGGCCTATTGTACCTGAACTTATTGTAGCTACAGGTACATCACTAGGCCTAGCATACCTGAACTTATTGTGACTATAGGTGAATCACTACCAGGACTAATTGTGACTTTAGGTGAATCACTAATTATTAGGCCCGTCGTACATGAACATATTCTTAACTACAGGTGAATCACTAATTAATTGGCCTGTTATACCTACACTTTTTGTGAATTTTATAAAGAAAAACAACTTTCATGAAATAAATTACCTTTATATCACTCTCAGACACCTGTTAAAAAATAATATGTAAAATGAATTAAATGATAAAACATGCAGAAAATAAAAGAGCATTCAAACGATCAATTCATGACAAACCATGTTGTACTGTAAAACAAGGAATTTATGTAGGCATATTATAAATAGGAATTCTAATAGTACATGACTAAATATCAGCCACTAATGAATTAAACAGGCAATATGCAAGAGCTAAATCTTCCTATTGCAGGTTTTTTTTAGGCCTTAAATGTTATATAAATCATTAATTACACATTTATTAATATGACAAGACAATAATCAACTCTCGATGCCATCGGATATCTCCGACTTTAGGTAGATTAGAACGGGTCAGCCATTTAGTGATTTAATTTAAAAATGGAGAAGCGAGGCTAAGTCTCTAATAACAAGGACTGTGGTTACGATACTAAACAATTAATACACACATCTTGTCAAAACTACAAACAGAATATTTTGAGCTGTTTCATACCGACATTAAATTTCTTGTTTTACAGTAACCATTACAAACACATTTCATTAACAACATGGTATCAAATATGCAAAAATAATACAAAGATACGAATGACATTCAATTACAATCAGAAAGATTGATGCTATATCGCAGCCCTCATTATTCGGAAAAGGGGGTGGAGCTTATAATTGGCACTCAAGAGATCTAATATATTAGTTTGGCTTAAATTACATGTAACAGGAAAACCACTCCCTAACCCTAGCTCACGGCTGTCAATCAGAGGAAAAGTCGATGCTATATCGCAGACCTTATACGGAAAAGGGGTGGAGCTTATCATTTGCCATCAGGAGATCTAAACTAATGTATTAGTTAGGCATAAATTACATGTAAGAAGCATACCACTCCCTAACCCTAGCTCACAACTGTCAATCAATCTGTAATCATGAATATGTACACGGACCATGGGGAGCCAATCGCCACCCTACATGTACCTTTGAGGGATACGATATATAGCATCTATATCAGATGAAGGTGACATTCCAGCTTAATATTTCTAACAGGACAAAATATAAAATATAAATCAGTAACTTCTAGTCCAAAATACTGTTCAGGATATGAGAGAGAAAAATGGGGTTTAACGTCCACTCGACACAAACTAGGTCATTTTGGGACTAACATATGGTTTAACTTTATTTCCATAATTTGCTTGCGCGTAGGGGTCTTTAGCAGTTGGAGGAAACCGGAGGACCCTGTGAAAACCCACGAGGTTGGACAGGAGACCTTACTCCTTGTCACGTACAACCGGGGAATCGAAACCATGCCAGTTGACTCAATGACAGACTTTATGATACAGCGCACACATGCTAACCATTAGGCCCTCAACCCCACCTGTTCAGGATATACAGCAGGGTTATTCTAGTCCAAAATGTTGTTCTGGATCTCTGATTTTATACATCACAGTTATTTCTTTCCAGCATTAGTTCAGTTCATTTACCAATAATATCTTTTGTATTAACAACAATAAAGCTGTCTGTTATTATAATTATTATATAGCAATAAATTTCTTATTTTTTTACTTTGTTAAAAATTGTGTCAATTAATATCAAGAAGTTTGTTCCATTAAAAAAAATAGCATAAAGTGAAAGTCATGTGTTATGATTTTGAAACATTAATAGTTTCAGTCTCGAAAGGAAAAAATAAATTCCTATGATGATCAGTTTCAGGGACTGACATAAATTGGTCTGAATAGTGGGTCAGTCTTAATACTCTATGTACATGTATATTATTCACTACCTGTTTCTATAATATTTACTGCCTGTACATTGTATATTTAATGCACTGTATGTACATGTATGTATGTATAATATCCACTACCTGTTTGTATAATATTCACAGTATATATGTATATCATTCACCACCTGTTTGCTTATTATTCATTGCCTGTTCGTATATTCACACCCTTTTTGTATAATATTCACTATATGTTTGTATATTCTTCACAGTATGTTTGTATTTACGGGCCATTTACTATTATCTGTACTGTACTTAGTTAATCTGTATTTTTCATTAAAACCTTTTCAAACCATTATATTACTATCATTAACAAATTTATAATCTTTAAATAGACCTCCTCCTCGATTGCTTGCCATGCAAATCAGAAAGAGACGTGTTGACTGGAATTTAATCTACAGACATGCATGTTGGGCGGAAGAAATCTTAAGAGTACAGGTAAATAACAAACAGCAGAATAATGATAGAGTCAGAAATCAGAAAGTATCGTAATACAATTACCTCATGACCAATAACATTTGCATTAATTTAAAATATAAACTTTGAGTAAATCAAAGTAATTTGTTCACTCTTCAAATATCAAAGGTTCTGTCCAAAATATACATTATTTATTGCTTTACATTGCCTAAATATAAATCTAAGTTATGTCCCCCTTGGCGTAAGTTTCATGATCATTTCTTTATGTATAAATATTTGGAGCTGAATCTATTTGAATACCAGACTAGGCCTATTTATTTACATGTATATTTGACATTCAGTTTGTATGAATCCACATACATTTAAATAGTGAATGGTTTAAATAGTACCAAGTATAACAATATCCTGAATAGTAAAATCTCATTTGTTCGCTTGTTAGACTTAATGACAGCGGGCTGCATGGGATTATCATCCGTACTCATGAAAAAAGGCAACAAATTACATGTAGATTAATAGAATATTGTGTTATATTTCATAGAGAAATATGGTTCGGAACGGGTGAGAGGTATTACCCAAAAAATTCTTGAATGCTGTTAAGAAGGGCTGTGGTGATTGGATTTAGTGGAGGTCAAAAAGACAATCTTCGAGTTCGAAACAAAATTCCAAATGGGACTGACTCATTTAGTCATTGATTAGTCACCATCTATCCATTGCAATGATCCACAAAGTTCCATTATCACGGTCAATCATTTGATTATTAACAATCATTTTATAAAAATAACATCCATTGTTTACATGTAATAATAATAAATTATTTCTCATAAACTTCAGTTTTAATTGTCAAAAAAATCAATTGAATGACTAGCACAAGGTCTGGCTTGTGTGTTTTCTAGGCTTGACTGCACAGCAGTTATATCCCCGCATTAGTGTAGATCTATAGTGCTTATTTTACCTTTGGATACAGTGCATCTTTTTCTGCACAACCGAAAACAATTTGTTCTAAGCCTTCAATTCTTTTTTCCAAAACGTCAAGCTGTTCAGAGTCTGCCATTTTGGGATAAGATTCACGTGATGCAACACTGTCAAATGAAATCAGAAAATAATTATTTTTTTTCAAATTACATAAATTTAAAGAACACATATTTTTAGATGACTATGGGGTCATAATTTATTTACACCGCGTTAACAAGTAATTTATTCGAATAATTAAAGGTTATAAAAATTACTAATACGGTGCATCACGATGAAACAGGTGCGTGTAGTCCTGACTGTCATGACATAGTTTGTAAATATTCGCTAGGCTGCTAATATCACAGTAAGGGATGACATCGGTGCGGGTTATTAACCCTTTTCCTTCTGCAAATAAAATCCTAGAGCATTTTTTTGAAGTATTAGAAAAATAAATAAAAATGTTTAAAGTATATTTGGATAAAAGATATTTCCTATTTCGGGTAAATGGGTATATATATAAAATGAGTAAAAGGCACCATTCTTCCCAGGCCAGTTTTACGCCACTACAGCCACAGGTGGTTTTTATCGACCACTGATTACCCAAAGTGATTTGCATTCAATCAAATTTTCATCTTTAACGTCCATCTAATTCAAATTGGTTACCCTAATCAACGAATTTACCGATTTCCGAAGCGATTACATCAAATCGCCAAATCACTTCAGGGTGCGATTTGGCGATTTGATCGGGTGATCACGTACGTGTTTTTTTCAACTGTGTCCAGCCACAACAATTGTTTACAGCTAATCGGAGCATTTAACGAACTCGCCAAAGAACTTTAAAATCGACTATACTGTCACATGACATCTCCACTATATTCAAATCGATTTGGCAAGTCGATAAACTACTACTTGTTAGTTGTGTTTTACGTCCGCTTCCACCGAGGTGATATCGCAGACAATTACATGTTATGTGTTCAAGGTGCATTAATTTACAATGTGGTTAGTGAGAAATATTAGGATGGTTAGGTTTTCATATATATGTACACAGGATAATAAACAACAGTAGGATAACATGTGCAAAGGACGAAACAGGTGTTAGTAGACATTTACAAGCATGCGATTTGACGCAACAGACATGGACAAAGACGGATATTTTCACAGACAAAGACATAATATGTACATATATATATATTTTGGGTCGTTTGGGTTGGTCTGGTCGTTCTGTCCGGTAGAATGGCAGGGCGGTGCAACTCTACCTTGGGGCTTTGTTGGTGAGTATGAGTCCTGGTCCATTCTTCCTTCCATTTGGGTATGTTGTCCGGTATGGTGGCGTTGTTACATCTTTATTTCTGTTATTCATTCCTTTTATTGTTGGTTCTCTGAAGGAAGAATCCAGCACCTGAAAAGGAAAGCTAGAGAAGAGAGAGTATTTGATCTTACTTTGATTTTATGGTTATTTCGTCTTGTAAGGCTTCGTGGGGGGGGGGGGGCCTTACGTCTTATGTATAGAGTTATATCTCCCAGTGATAGTAGCGGCCAAGCGAATATTTACTGCTGTGCAGTTTGGTTGGCGGAGCGAAGTGTAGTTTTGATCACCCAGTCTCACCACGGTCGACACGGCGATCTGTCGCGTGGGCGTGCAAATTAAAGATCTTGACAAGATCGAATATAAATATTTCCTCTATTCCTAATAATACATAGAGAATTACCTCTTATATATTATATAAATATTTCCGCCATGGTGACATTCAAATCCCCAATTAGACATATATGACTCATTCATTTCGATCTTTCTTACCGCATTCTAGATGAGTAGATCTATACCTTTACTTGCTAATTCAGGGCAGTACTATTGTGATTTTTTTTTTTTTTTTTATGTTATTTTTATGTTTGGGTGTTCAATGTGTAATGGGGAAAAAAATCGAATTTGTTAGGCTACCTAAAATTCCATAGGATAACATGGATTGTAATTTTCTTTTTATGTTGAGTGAAATTGGAGATAGATCCGTTTTATGAGAACGAGGTGAATATCTGACTCAATGTCATTACTGTCAACAAAGTCAACAATTCTTTTGGGGAAAACATTTATGTCCACCTTTTCATAAAGTAATACATCAATTAATCGGTTACCCAGACGTTGGTTAACTATTTGAATTCATTGACACGGCGTGACAATCGAGACCGAATAATTGTTCCGGCTCACGCAATCCTCGAAACACGTCACCAAACGCCCTATTGGTTGGTGACGTCACGCTGTGCTAAATATAGCTGGGTGAGAACGAGTCTCGTGTGGTGATGTGCTTGTCGTTTGTTTTGGGAGCGAAGTCGGTGAGGAAAACAGCTTTGATTGATATACAAGCTGGGACGACATTTCTGGTCGAAGGTGATTTTTTGAGAAGAACTTCGATCTTAGATTCTTTTTAACACAAAATGAGTGAAGTCGAAGTGATTGTGTCGGACACATCGCTGTCCGAAAACACACGGGATGGTGATGACCATGCCACAGCACGCGACAAGCATGACCACGAGGAAAACAAATCAAATTCGGAAGTTTCATCATATTTGACAGCTCCAAAGTTACGAGTGGAAAAATTGAAAGATGACGGTTTGATTTACACAAGTGAAGAAGATGCTGGCAGCCATGATTCGCATGAATTGTCTGATGACGGGTCGGGTAGAAACAGTCCCAGAAATCCCGAGAAAGTTGTGCCAGATTTTGTGCCTCCTACTGATGAGATTAGAGACAAAATTATTGCCCAAGTTGAGTTTTATTTCTCTGATGCCAACGTCTTAAAAGATGCGTTCTTATTGAAACACATCCGTAGGAATAAAATGGGATATGTCAGCATCAAGTTGATTACCTCTTTCAAAAAAGTCAAAACGCTCACCAAAGATTATCGCGTAGTTGCTCACAGTCTCAGTCATTCCGAAAAACTAGAAGTAAACGAAGAGGGGACTAAGGTTAGACGTCGTGATCCGCTGCCGGACTACGACGAGACTACACCCTCTAGAACTGTCGTTGCCGTTAACTTACCAATGGAAAATCCCACGATTGAAACTGTGGCTGAACTTTTCTCAAAATGCGGTGACATTGTTTTGATTCGAATTCTTAAACCGGATAAGACAATTCCTCCTGATATTAAAAAACATTCAAGCAAGCATCCTGAAATCGGAACTGCCGTTTGTGCTGTTATCGAATTTGAAAAACACGAGCAGGCGAAGAAAACGGCGGATGAGATGACGGATAAAAATGATTGGAGGAATGGTATGAGAGTTATGGTTCTTGCCGTGAAGAAGAAAAAGGAGAAGGATGAGGATAAAGATAAAGGAGATGGCTCGAACGAGGAAACCGGTGACGAACAGAAACGACAAAAACGTCGCGGGGGCCGAAAGAAGAAGTTTCGTATTGATGAATTGGCGAAAGAAAATGATTCATCAAATTGTAGTAGTGGATCTGAATGTGATAGTGTCAAAATAGCGACGTTAAGTCCAAGAACTCCAGAAATAGATTCAAATCGATTGAGCCCTGCGACGACCCCGAAATCATCGCCACGAAACAGTCCAAGAAACAGCCCATTAGCACATAGACGAAAAGTTGGTCATGGCAAGTCTCCACTGGCTGATAAAAATAAACTTAGTCCACGGAGCAGTCCGGAAATGGGTCGTAAGGACAGCGATGCTGGGAAATCGGGAAGTACGCCCTCAAGTCCGTGGGTCCAGCGACGATTACAAGCTGCTCAAGCTGCACAAGAAAATGGCAGCCCGACTGCAAGTCCACTGCTCAGTAGACGAAACGTGGACGGAACTGTCATAACGGGGATGTCACCCAGGATGCTTGACATGATGAACGTGGTTCGGCAACCCAAGGGACCCAATGGAACAAAAGGATTTTATGGGGGAATTGGGCGTGGTAAACCACGAAGCCACACGGTTGCATAAACAATCGTTATTAACTTTGTTTAAGAAATGGATAATTATTATCGACATTTACTATTTAAATCAAAATATTTTATTATGGTTTAAATCATATCAAGATTTTGGAGTGAATTTATTTTTTTTCTCTCTCCAGTTTACATATTTTATGTGCTTCAGACATTTTTTTGGTGTTTTTTTTGTTTTATATGAACTACCAAGGCTGAGAGCTGGGGTAGGGTTTTACATGGACAGCGAAACTGCTGAAATTCGCTTTTACTTGAGGTGTTGAAAAAGAATGTTCGATACCCAGTGTATGGATTGAAAATTTAAAGGGCATTGAGAAGTCTTCTCCCATGCTCTAGTGTCTTGATGTGTTGAAATTTGTATTAATTTTTACTAAATTTCTTGGTATGAAAGGTTATTTTGTACACTCACACAGCCAAAATTTGCTGTTAAACATCAGCTTTTTTTTTAATGTCTATACATGGTGCGAAGCTTGCTGAGGAAATAAGCAAGCTGTTTGTAGGAGAATACAGTATATTTATAACGGTTTGCAGGCCTGGAAATAACGGTTTTAGTTGCACCTAACAAAATGTCAGGCACTAATGAAATAGTACCTGACATTTTCAACTTAGTGCCGGACATGTATTTATAATATCAATAAAAAAGAAAAATCAGTATCGGACTAACTGACAGGCACCAGAGGTTTAGTGCCTGACAAAGCCTGAATCTTTGCCGGACATTGTCTGTGACAGGTGCCTTATTTCCAGGCTTGGGTTTGGTATTAACCGGAATCACAAGTGTTACATCAGTTGGTGTTAAATGTGTTAATGAATGAATGAGTTTAGATGATAATATGTTTGATTAAATGACAATTAACGATATATATGTTTGTTTATTTATTTTAAGACGTTTTCGTAATTTTATGTTATAACACAATATTTATTATATGTCTATATTTTGTACAGCTCACAGAATTAAATTTTACAGTCAACATGATAATAGATCTCAACAATTAAGTTTTCATTAAATTTATTACCCAATATGCTGAACTCCCCGCATATGAATATGCTATTGTTTTGTTATGGCTCTTTACATGGTATGTTGATATGCAAATTATAAAGGAAAGGAGATGCAAGGGTTAGGGCATGTAGATGTATATTTATATAGGTACAATGTACTTTTTACAAGAAAAGGAGAATTTTGCCACGGCATATAATCAGTGCATTTAATTATACCTGTACTTTGTGTATATATTTAGTAGGCATTATTGTATATGGAAGGGCATGTGTATGTAGAATATTTATCTATATATACAGTCGTACAGGAGAATTTTGCCAATGCAGTACTTTTATGTATTTATTAGTAGTTAATATTATAAAATCAAGGCAGGGGGATGTAGGATATACACGTATACATGTAAATACACAGTAGTACAAAACAAGGAGAAATTTGCCTCTGCAGCACTTTGTGTATATATTAGTAGGTAATATTGTATATTGACCAATGAAATGGAACATAGTCATCAAAAATTAAAAATATATTACGTATGTAAATATTTTGAGATTATACATTTGTGCACTGTATTAAGATATGTAACTAAATATCCCAGGGGGACGATGGATACCAAATAGACATGGGAACTATCAGATTAAAACATACATTATTTAAATTATGTATATTGAAAGGTCAATACAATAGAGATACAGAATTAAAAGCTCTATGCGTCATTTAGAGATATAGGAACCACTTGTAAACAGCAACATTCTGAAAGTTTAATTTCTAATAGTAAAAGTCGAAAAAAGGTTCAGTTCTGTTCATTATTTACAGAGTTATGTTAAATTGAATTTTCATTGATCTATGCTGCACGGTTCCGTTGCTATCTTTTACTGGTAGCAGAAACCTAACAGGCCTAGTTGAAATCTGATTGAATCTAGGCCTGGAAATTATCTAGTGTTGATATTTTTGGTTTTCTTTATTAAAGGGATAACATATAAGATTTAGATAAATAGCTGTCCGTTCTTGCTATAATGTTTCAAAAATAGACAATGCAAAATAAATATATACCAGTATTAAAAATTTCTTTCAAATTACTTTATTTTTATCAAAGTTATCAATGGTTGTAGTTTTTGACAAGATGTGTGCATTGATTGTAGCTACCATACTAGTCATTCGATTCTTAGCCTCACTTCTCCATTTTTAATTTAACTCATTTGATAGCCGAACTGTTCAAATCTACTTAAAATCAGACCTACCCAATGGCATCGAGAGTTGATTATCGTCGGTGAAGTGTCAAAAGGGTGTATCTAAGAATTTCTAAAGATTAAGAAATAGAACCTTTTGCATTTCAAAATTTCCACAAATCAAGATACAACATTTGGACACATGATACTCAGAACAGTTCTAATTGGCGTAGAGATACACAGCTTAGACAGAAATGTGCATATTAATTGGGAGATGTTAAAAATGCAAAAAAGTGTATTTGACTAATTTCCCGAGATACACCCTTTTGACACTTCACCGACGTTATGGTCTTGTCATGTTAATAAATGTCTAATTAATAGTTTATATAACATTTAAGGCCCAAATAAAGACCTGCAATAGGCAGATTTAGCTCTTACATAATGCCTGTTTAAATGTTAAACACTTAAAGGGATAATAACACTCTTGCTGGCTTGACAGCTCCAGTAAATAAATATTAGCCTTATTCTAAGTATTAGATGTTTAAGTGTCCTACCTGTTGTGTAAAATATCCATCACATCCTATTTTACTTGTCCAGAGGGTTCGAAAATATTTTTAAATCCAATTCACATTTGAAAAGGTATACATTAGGCTTTTCAAATCATTTAGTTGAATTTTTCCAATTTTTTAAATTAGGTATGTTAAGATGAAATTTGTATCATCAATTAATTGGAATACTGTAAAATAGTACAATTTGGGGCATATTATTCTGTTACAACAAGAGTGGCATTGAGCCTTTAATCTGGACTACATATTTAGCTGTGAGAAAATGCAAGTGTGTGTCAAGCCTTCAACTAGATGAATAATAAAAATGGAGATTGTAAGAGTTGATATAAATATCAAGTGAATATGATAAGTTATGGATCTGGGTATTTAAAACGGTTTATTGTTGTGTCAGCAAGAAATAGGAGATAAATTGTTTTTATGTTCTTGACATATACCTGTTGAAATTTATGTAATTTGAGAGGTCTCTTAGTTAAAAGATTGTAAAATTTTCGAATAGACAGAGAAATGGGGTTTAACATCAACTTGACACAAAGTAGGTTAATTTGGGACTGACATATGGTACAATCTTAACTTAATGGTGGCAGTGGGAGGACATGAGGTTGGCAGATGACCCTATTCTATGTCGCATACGTGTTTTAGGAATGAAACCACACCACTTAACTCAATACCAGACCTTATGATCTAAAGGGCATGTCTTAGACCACTGCACATCCAATGATTCTAGTAAGGAGTAACAAACGGTAACGGTTGTGTACAGCATCATATTCTATTGTACGGGGGGGTTGGATGGCCGATTGGTTAGCACGCGCGTGCTGTATCATAAGGTCTGTCATTGAGTCAACTGGCGTGTTTTGATACCCCGGTTGTACATGACAAGGAGTAGGGTCGCTTGTCCAACCTCAAGGGTTTTCTCCGGGACCTCTGGTTTTCTCCCACCTAAAGACCCCTACACGCAAGCGAATTATAGAAATAAATTTGAACCATGTATTAATCCTGAAATGACCTAAGTTTGTGTCGGGTGGATGTTAAACCCCATTTCATTGTACAATATCAGATATTATTTCAAGTGTTTGATAAAGTATGCAATATTTGGATGAAGTGAAATACCCAATTGTGCCATACTACAAAACAGTTAATTCAATGACTGGGCGACCTGATCTAATCTGTAACCTTGAGCTTATTGGTTCACAGGAGCAGACCATGCTGGTGGAGGATGGTGCACACTTGATGACCAGTGTTTTTTTACCCCCAGGGAGCTGCGGTGACCAAATGAGTGAGATTTTGGCTCGTTAATCTGGAGTTCCCGTGTTCGATCCTCGTGTTCGATCCTCGTGTTAGCTGAGAAAGTTTATTGGGATTCTTTCCGCCGTGGTTCCGTCTTGTCGGTGATGCAAGACAACGTGTAGTTGTTCGGATGGGTCGGAAACCCTAGGTCCTATGTACAAAATGCTGTTGAAGTTGGAATTAAGAGTTGCCTGTGTCGGGGCAAAATTTCCCTTATAGCATGCTGTATGGTGTATGCTTTTCTTCATTAGCCCAACACCAGACGAAGTAGGACGTTAAACTCCATTTCATTTCATAAATGCAGTATACCATTGACACTGTTTACTTTTAGGGTTGGATGGCCAAGTGGTCTTACATCAGCACTTCAAATAATATCATCTGTCATAGAGGCAAGTGTTGAGGTTTTGATCCCAGGCTTTTGTCATGTGACAAAGAATAGGGTCGATTGCCTGATCTTCTGGTTCCCTTGCAATGCTAAAGAACTCCACATTCAAGTGAATTTTTGAATTTCAAACCATATGTTAGTCCCGACATGATTGAGTGGACTTTAAATCTCCATGTCTTGTGGGTTTTTTTTTTTCAACCCCAACTCTACTCTTAATACTAAGTAGGACAATTTGATTGACAGTGATGAACCATTATGTTGACAATTCATGATAAATGGACGTACAAACAAATAAAAGATAAAACTTGATTGTATTATGGTCGTCAATTTTACAAATAATATTTTTATAGATTTACACGTGTACATGTGGTATATTATAGAGGTAAAAATGGCCCAAGGCTTTGTTTTGAGGATGTAGAAAAGTTTCCTTTTCCTTTAGTTAAAATAAACATTTTGTTGTCTTATTTTTTTAAGGAAAATCATTCTGGTTGTTTTGAAATTGATAGATTTACAGGTGTTTTGTTATGTTTGGTGTCGGACACCTGGTTTATTGTCTACCTGTAAGACTGTGACGATTCATGACTTGAAAGAGCTTAGGACTCGAGTCACGGCGAGAAGGCACAACTCTTACTTACCTTAGTCCATTTCTCTGTCTCTCTGACAAAGTCAGATTGAGGGCGTTGATATGATATCATATTCATTTGACTAAGTCAGACTGAGGGCTTTGAAACTTTAACATGTTCATTTGACTAAGTCAAACTAAAGGCTTTGATACGTTATTGTGTTCATTTGACAATCAACTTTGAAACTTTAACATGTTCATTTGACTTAAATAGTTTGGATAGTCTCTTCTGTATTCTTGTACTGTTCTATGTATTGGTTTGGCTGTAGGCCTAAAGTGATGACTGACTATTTCCTAAGTGCAAATTTAACATTTGATGTACTATAAGGCAGAGCTAGGGATTTTGCGTAACCACCACTAAGTAATTATATCCTAATACATAAAAAGAAATGGAGTTTAAGAATTTTTCTGTCTTAAAATAAAATTACCCAAAAGATGTGGGAAAATGTCCAGCATTTCTGGCTAACTACTATTAAGTTTGCGTCTAGTTTTGTTTTGTAAACTTTTAGATTTGTAAATCGTCTTTTCAGGAGATATTTAGTCCTAAAACAACTTAGTCAAACCCCATGTCTCTCTTATGAATATATGTATTAAAGTACATTTATAAAGGTATTTAAAGCTTCAGAAATTTCTAGATCTTGATCTAAATTCATGATATTTATGACCTCGGACCCCTCCCCTATTTTCATGCATGGATAGTATTTAATGTCTGCATTGTTTTACATTGTTTACCTACATTTAAACGTCACATTTTCAGAAAGAAAAGTATTTGTATTTACGACTGTATGGTTGTAATGAAGGATATAAAATCTGTCAGTAAGGTGTATAAAACCGAACGATGCATGTATAAAACTAAGAAAAAGATCAGATACATGTTTAGATGTGAATTCAGACATAATGATTTTAATTGTTCAAGACAATGTCATACTTTATTAAACATACATTATGCAAGAGCTTAATCTGTCTATTGCAGGTCTTTATTAGACATTTATTAACATGAAAAGACCATAATCAACTCTCGATGCCATCTTATGTGTTTGATTTTCACTGGATTTTAATCCATCTGCTGCTCAACGCTCATTGATGATTAAATGCTAAAATGGATAATCGAGACTATGCTGTTTTTTTTTTTATCCTACTGACTTTGGTAATGATGATCGAGGCTAGGCCTAAATTTCAGTCACTAATATCTCAGTTCAGAGTGGAGCAATTTGACTGAAATTTTCAGCATATTCCCTTTACATTATCTAGATTTTAACTATTATAATGAGAACTGTCAGCTCTTGTATCTAATCGTGGCGACTAGTAATGATGATCGAGGCTAGCCTAAAATTTAAAATACCTTGTGTTTTGAATATATAGGGGGGGTTGGATGGCCGAATGGTTAGCACGCGCGCTGTATCATACGGTCTGTCATTGAGTCAACTGGCGGGGTTTTGATTCCCTGGATGTACGTGACAAGGAGTAGGGTTGCCTGTCCAACCTCGTGGGTTTTCCCCGGGTACTCCGGTTTCCTCCCACTGCTAAAAACCCCTACGCGCAAGCGAATTATTGAAATAAAAAAATTAAACCATGTGTTAATCCCGAAAAAACCTAGTTTGTGTCGAGTGGACGTTAAACCCATTTCTCTCTCTCTTTGAATATATAAATAACCAGAGGGTTGTGTCTGACTATGTCTTGTGACAGGTGCCCAACCAGAGGGTTGTGTCTGACTATGTCTTGTGACAGGTGCCCAACCAGAGGGTTGTGCCTGACTATGTCTTGTGACAGGTGCCCAACCAGAGGGTTGTGCCGGACGATGTCTTGTGACAGGTGCCCAACCAGAGGGTTGTGCCGGACGATGTCTTGTGACATGTGCCTTATTGCGGCAATAACAATCTGATTAAAAACACAGATCCTATTTCATTTCATTTTTTTTTTATAGTTCAAAATTTCGTTTTACTTTACTACACTAGGATCTGGAAGAGTTGTTATATAACCCACATTCTGGATGATGTGAGGGATAAGCCAGTGAAACAGTCTGTTACAGCGAGCTTTTGACGTGAGGTGCACGGAACTGTGGGTAACCCACTAGAAACATCAAAGTTGATGGTTAATCAAATGTCTGACGTCATACATGTAGGGTCAGAAGCAGCTCATATGATCCCTGACTCCACCTTTCACTACAACTGGTCAGATCTTTATGTAGTAGAGACCATTGAAAGTACAAAAAAAACAAAAAGAAATATAGATCTGTATTTTGATCAGATTGGTCCCGATAACAGTGTAATATTCAAGGCCCGCTGTAGATATCTATTGATATGTAAAATGTGGTCAGAAGTTCACTCAACCATAACAATAAAAATCTATTTTACAGCCTCAAGATGTATGAATTAAATCTTGTCTAGATCAGTTGAATTATTTGTGTGGGGTGAAGCTTTCAAGGTCATGTCATTATTCTTGCCACAAAGTTTGAAGATTTTTACCATAAAAGAAATAAATAGGGTGGAGACATTTAAAGTGTTAGTCACGGGTGATTGAACAGTTATATGTTGTGCACTCAGTATATAAACAATTGTGTACTTTTATTATAAAAACTGTGTACCTGTATTAGCTACCTGTCATTAGGGAACTTGTTTACCTGTGCAGCTACCTGTCATTTGTTTACCTGTCATCATGTACAGCTACCTGTCGTTATGGAACTCGTTTACCTGTCTTTCAGGAACTTGTTTACCTGTCTTTAGGGAACTTGTTTACCTGTATGGCTACCTGTCATTAGGAAAATGAAATGAAATTGGGGTTTAACGTCCTACTTGTCATTAGGGAACTTGCAATTGTTTACCTGTCATTAGGAAACCTGTTGATTACCTGTCATTAGGAAACCTGTTGTTTACCTGTCATTAGGAAACCTGTTGTTTACCTGTATGGGTACCTGGGTTTAGTGAACCTGTCATGAATCTATGAAGCACTATTAAGCTACTTTTATGAATTACTTTTATAGGTTGTTTATTACTTAATATGTCAATCATATTTTATGGGTAAAAAAAACGCTTTAAAATTGATTTATAAGATAAAAGAATGCTTTTAAATATGTTACATGTACATCCAGTCTAACATGTTACATGTCGTCAGTGAAGTGTCAAAAGGGTGTTTCTAAAGATTAAGAAATAGAACCTTTTGCATTTCAAAATTTCCACAAATAAAGATACAACATTTAGAAACATGATACCCAGAACAGTTCTAATTGGCGTAGAGATACACAGCTTATTAATTGGGAGATTTTAAAAATGCAAGAAAGTGTATTTGACTAATTTCCCGAGATACACCCTTTTGACACTTCACTGACGATGTACATCTACATGTACATCCTGTGTAATGTGTTACATGTACAACCTGTGTAATATGTTACTTGTATATTCTGTGTAATATGTTACATGTACATCCTGTGTAATATGTTACTTGTACATCCTGTGTAATATGTTACATGTACAACCTGTGTTAAATGTTACATGTACATCCTGTGTAATATGTTACATGTACATCCTGTTTAAAACAAATATCCCACTAACGTTTTATAAACAAAAAACGAAATAAACAAAAAATGAGGAACTGGCCATAATGCCATTGAAACCAGATAATCTGTACTTATAGATGTCCATCATATCTTTCGACTTTTAGTCAGGTTAAAGAGAAAATGTCAAAAGAATATATTAACCAGTTTTTTTTTAATACCTTTAGTTGATTATATTAAGTTAAAGCGTTTTGTTTGTAAAGAAATTCTGTTTGTTTTTCAATAAAGGGGCATTATGTTAGATCTATATAAAGATCTGGTCGTTTTATTTTGAGCACAAGATGTGTGCATTGATTGTAACCACTGTACTGGTCATTCGGGCCATAGCCTAGATTCTCCTTTTTTAAAATTAAATCATTAAATGGCCAATCTACTTAGGCCTTGCATCTTGTCATGTTAATTAATGTTAATTAATGTCTAATTAATGTTAATTAATGTCTAATTAATGTTAATTAATGTCTAATTAATGTCTAATTAATAATTTATATAACATTTAATGCCAGAGAAATGCCTGCAATAGGCAGATTTAGCTCTTACAGATTGCATGTTTAATAAAGTAAATTTTTTGATGATTTTTTTTTTGTCCTTGTTTTAGGCATTAATTTTAAGTTTACCTTTAAAGTTTGAATCATTCCATTTTATTTTATTGTCCCTCGCGCTTATGATTTATAATAAAATTAACAATGTACATGTAGTATTGTCAGTGAAAAAAAACCTCCAGGAGAGTGGAGATGGTTATTGTTGATTAATTTATAATTGAAATAGATTATTGTAATTTATATGAAAAAAAAAAAGTATTTTACCTGGATGTTAAAATGGCTAGAATTCACTCAAAAGGGTATTAATCTACCTTGGACCTTGAATTCTAGACTCCTCACAACATCTTTTTGACAGGGTGTAGGGCTGAGGAAAATAAGTGACACATAATTTTGGTTTAACCTCTGTGTCTTCTCATTGAAATGGGACAGGTTCTAATTCCCTCCCCCCCCCCCAATCACTGACCATGTGACACTTGACAGTGGTATGGGTACAGTGAGTTGTCCCCATACCTGATAGTCTTAAGACTAAAGATGTAATTCTTGGTCCTGGTAAAAAGGGTAACCTCGCTGTGTTTGCCCATCAAAATGGGGCATGTTCTCTCCCCTCCCCCCCCAGTCACCTTTAACTACACTAGATTGTACAGGGGCGTCTTAATGTATGGGCATGCTGGGCAGTTGCCGGGGGGCTTCCAAGTACAATAGTAGTCCCATGCTAACCACTGTATTTCTATGAGTGTTTGTTTTGGGAGGGGCCCCGATGCACTGCATTGCACGAGATAATGCTGTTAAGACAGCTCTGATAATGTAACATCTTAATCCTGATCATGGAAAATGCTTTTTGAAAAAGTAATTTTCAGAATTTACTGAGATTTTTTCTTCTTCCTTGTTCTATTTTTGTGCTAATTTTTAAGCTGACTAGGATGTTAAAATTTCTTAAAATGCAATTTGATCAATAAACTGTACAGAAAATAACATCTTTGTTTATTTAAATTTTTTTATTGAAATAATGATGGAAAAGCGGATAAATAATTATCACCCATCTTACGGACAAAACTATCGTCTGTTGATGGAGGTTCATCCGTCTCTCCTTTGTCACACCTTTTGAAACCCAATAACGCGTCTCATTGAGGTGGGAGAGACACTGGGTCACTAACCAGCAGGTTGAGATGGCAGAGATACTAAGTCCCCTAACCAGGGTGGGAGAGATACTGGGTCTCTAACCATGGTGGGAGAGATACTGGGGCTCTAACCATGGTGGGAGAGGCACTGAGTCTCTAACCACCCAATTGAGATGGGAGAGACACTGGCTCACTAACTGGTGGACGGATGTTTTGATCTAAAAGGTTAATGAAAAGAAATGGGATTTAACATCCTGCCATTCAGCTCCGACTGGTCTAATGAAGATGGACATATGCCAAACAGTGTGCTATGAGGGAAATTTGGCCTACTTTTATTTCGATTTCCAACGATCAAGGGTTCTTGTACATGCTTGGGACCTCAGATTTTTGTCCCATCCGAATGTTTAGACCCTGTCATTGCCAGGTCCAACTTTTCTGCACCAACATTGCTAATGAAGACAGAAAAGATGAGTCTACAACACCAGTAGTTCCCAGATGGTCACTCATCCAAGTACTAGCCTAGCCCATGACGCTGCTTAACTTAAGTGATCGGACGAGACAAACTGAACAAAGATAATTTATCAAATAATTACCCCTACCAATAATATACAACATGATTGACTGAATATTATGATGGGTGGATCAAAGAATGACAGATGACGTACACAACCTGTTAATCATTAATCAAAAACAATACATATGACGTCAATCAGAATGATCATTCATTAAAATCTCTGATCAGTTTTTCAGAGGGGAGGGGACCCCCTCTTTGCTCCTTCCAGATAATTTTGAAAAGTCAGGGTGTCAAAGCCAAAATTTACATGTTTCATAGAAAAAGAATAATAAGTAACTTTTTATATTGTTATTTGGAGGGGCCATAGCCACCCACTGCTGGAGGTCTACTTTTATATCTATTTATTTATTGTATTGTGTTTATTAACACTAATCTAAGACATATCTATTATTCAAGTTCCTCCTTTAACAATACAATCTATGCCTGAGGCAAGAGGGAGTGAAAGGAATAGCCTAACTATAACATGGATGTGAAAACCAAACAATCCTATCAAATCTTTAAATAGGCCAGTAATATACAGTAAATAATGTCATTTCAAGTTTAATTATTTCATAAGTTTCCGGGTGAATCAAAAGTTTTATCACTAGCAGGCACAGTCCTGGGTTGCCAGGCAATGACACATGGCTCCAAGCAGTCCACAAAGCAAACTTTGATAACTTTTGTGTTAGAGAGTTCAAAAAGACAAAATCTCTAGACAATAGAGATCATATTATTGCTGAAAATCAATAGGCTTCTTATTATGCCTAATCTAAATAATGCACATAAATTTAATACAGATCGGACTGTTACACTGACAGATTGAGGGAGCCACGGTGAATCAGTGAGCAAGACGTTGGCCTTGCTAACCTGGAAGTCCCGTGGGTTGACAGAGAAATTTCATCAGGATTTTCTGCCGTGGTTTCTGCTTGTTAGTGGATCAGGGCCTGGAAAGGAATAACAAATAGTTGTTTGGATGGGACAACAAAATGATAGAGAGAGAGTGAGAGAAAGAGAGAAATGGGGTTTAACATCCACTAGACACAGAGCAGGTCATCTCGGGACTAAAACATGATTCAATTTTATTTCAATAATTCGTTTGCGCTTAGGGGTCCTTAGCAGTGGGAGGAAACCGCAGGACACGGAGGAAACCCACAAGTTTGGACTGGTGACCCTACTCCTTGTCACATATAACCGGGGAATCGAAACAATGCCATTCGATTTAATTACAGACCTAATGAGATAATGCATAGCTGCCAACCCCCAGCCCCCCTGCACTACAAAACGAGGTCCTGTGTACACATCAGTTTTTATGTAAAAGAACCCTTGACAGTTGGAATTCAATAGCAGAGTAGAAGGCCATAATATATGATGTTATCTGAGAAAAAATCCCAGTGTTAGGCGTGGTTTCCCCTTATCAGTGGTGCAGGACATAGACCCTGACAAAACTGAAGTTCTGTGTACACATTAGAGTGCACGTAAAAGATACCTTGGCAGTTGGAATTTGATATAAGATTAGGCTGCAGTGCCGTAGTGCAGGCAAAATTTCCCTCATTGCACACTGTACAGCGTATGCCCCTCTTCATATTAGCCCAGTTAATGCAGAATAGTGGGATGTTAAACCCCATTTCATTTCAGATTGATTGAACTTAATACTTGCTATTGACAGCTGTGTCAAGGGAGACAATTCAGTTAGTCTAAACCCACCAAACATCTAGTAATGATAAATGTAATCAAATTAAATACTTTTCTACACCAACTAGACTGGTGAAGATAGGAATACGTCATACAGTCTTCTAAAAGTTCAGCCCCCAAAAACGTGTCCACTTAGACAACTGACAGACACCCAGGCTCGTGGCTGACAGAGAGGCAGCCCAACCAATGTCACTCGGCTTTATGGGGCACCCATACTGATATGGGCACGTTGGTCGTTGGCTTCGAATTGCGTCTAATGGCAGCTGCTCCCCTTGCTCCACCCCCACCAGCAACAGGCCTGCAGACGCCCACTAATTTCCCGACCCCCAGTCTGTTTTCATTATCCTATATCACAAGGGCTCAAGTGGGATTAAATACCATGGCTGGGATTGGCTAGGCTATCAATATTATTAACATCTCTATGAAAATTGGGGGGTTGGATGGCCGAATGGTTAGCACGTGCGTGCTGTATCATAAAGCCTGTCATTGAGTCAACTGGCGTGGTTTCGAATCCCCGGTTGTACGTGACAAGGAGTAGGGTCGCCTGTCCAATCTTGTGGGTTTTCTCCGGGTCCTCCGGTTTCCTCCCACTGCTAAAGACCCCTAAGCGCAAGCGAATTATTGAAATAAAATTAAAACCATATGTTAGTCCCGAAATGACCTTGTTTGTGTCGAGTGGACGTTAAACCCCATTTCTCTCTCTCTCTCTCTATGAAATTGCATACCAAAATTGAGTACCGTCTAAGCATCATACCCATTAAATTTGGTTGAAATCTATCAAATGGTTTTGAAAAAAATAATTGAAAGTGTGTGAACAAATCCAATATTGACGCTTTATGGTAACTATGCCACTTATGAACGACCCAAGAAACACCCACAACAAGTTTAGTTAACCCGTTAAGTGCGTAGGTTGTTATATAATGTCCTGGACAACTGCCACTCACTGTGTGTAGGGCGTAATATAACACCTTGGAGGTATTTTCTCCAACCTATTCTTAGAACATAGTACATAGTTCTTCGTCACTTTTTCAAATTAATTACACAATAGGGGGTAGTTAACATTTTAAAAATGTAAAAGTTAAAATCTTTTTTGGAAAACATCAAATTTTCTAAGCTAACGTATACCCAAATTGATTATTTAAAGATACATTATGGGAGATTAGATAAAGAGTTGACAGTTCTCGCTTTAATATTTAAAAAATAGATAACGTAAATAGAATATAGTTTTTGAAGTTTAGGCTAGCCTCGATCATCATTATTAAAGTCAGTACGATAAAAAAAACAGCTGTCCTTGTCAGGCCCTCCATACTGCATAACTGACAAGGGGAAATCACGCCGGAAAATCTGAATGAACTTTCTCGGCCAATGCAGGGATCGAACACCCGACCTTCACTTGACACAAACTAGCTCATTTCGATTTTGGGACTAACATATGTTTTAATTTTTTATTTTCAATAATTCGCTTGCGCGTAGGGGTCTTAAGCAGTGGAAGGAAACCGGAGGACCCGGAGAAAACCCATGATGTTGGACAGGCTACCCTACTCCTTGTCACGTACAACTGGGAATCGAAACCATGCCAGTAGACTCAATGACAGGCCTTATGTTACAGCGCGCACGTGCTAACCATTCATCCTCCCCCCCCCCACAACCCCCATATGAACGTACAACAGACAGTGGCTATGACATAAGCCTTTGGTAAATATAAATAATAAACTAGTATCTATTTCAATACTTTATTTTAATATACAAGTTTATATATATATATATAAATATCACAGAGTTTTATTCAGATATGTTACTAAAATATAATACAATGATCTCGTTGACTACAACTCGGGTATACTGTAGCATTAGTCTGAGTCTCTGTATTTAATACAAAGATCTCTTTCACTACAACTCAGATATACTGTAGCTTTAGTCTGAGTTTCTGTATATACTGTTTATACGTTCCTAAAATAATATATAAAATTATCAAATAATAGAGTTATATCATAGTTTATAAATTACATAACATTGTTTATTCACACTATCAATGAATCTTACACTAAACCAAGCCCCCTGACAATAGCAGTGTACTGTGGCCCCTACCATCACAACCACTCACAGGAATGCCAATACAAGACTTTGGTTTTTCGTCCCATCTGAATGACTAGCCACTGTTCCTTATCAGATCCTCAAACATGGGAAATCCATGTTGGAACATCCCAGGGCACTTTCTCTCTCAGCCACAACCGGGACCGAATCCTGGACCTCCTGATTTGTGAGCCCGGGCCTCACTCTCGGAGCCACAGTGGCTCTGTCATGAAAGACAATATTGGTTCTTGTAAATATTTACAAACACTGGCCCTTCAAAAAATGATAGGAAGTAATTACAGTGGAATGATTTTACTTCAACCCACGCAGGAAGTCAAAATATCACAGTAATCAAATTGAGCCACAATAAAACTATGTTATGGGTGATACTGACAACACTATCTTCTGATTGTTCCGATACTGAAAACAATATCTTATAAGTGTTCTGATACTGACAACAATATCCTATGTGTGTTCTGATACTGACAACAATATTTTACGAGTGTTCCGATACTGACAACAATATTTGATTGGTGTTCTGATACCGACAACAATATTTTATGTGTGTTCCGATACTGGCAACAATATCTTATGTGTGTTCTGATACTGACAACAATATCTTATATGTGTTCCAATACTGGCAACACTATCTTATGGGTGTTCTGATACTGGCAACAATATCTTACAGTGTTCTGATACTGACAACAATATCTTATGTGTGTTCCGATACTGGCAACAATATCTTATTGGTGTTCTGATACTGGCCACAATATCTTACGAGTGTTCTGATGCTGACAACAATATTTGATAGGTGTTCTGATACTGACATCTTATGGGTGTTCTGATACTGACAACCATATCTTATGTATGTTCCGAATCATATCTTATGTATGTTCCGATTAAAGATCAATCGGCTAAAGCCGACAAAAAACAGCCGATTAAGATCCCTGGTTCCGATACTGGCAACAATATCTTATGTGTTCTGATACTGACAACAATATCTTATGTGTGTTCTGATACTGACAAAAATATCTTACGGGTGTTCTGATACTGACAAAAATATCTTATGGGTGTTCTGATACTGACTAAAATATCTTGCGAGTGTTCTGATACTGACAACAATATGTTACGAGTGTTCTGATACTGGCCACAACAATTTATAGGTGTTCTGATACAGGTAACAATATTTTATGGGTTTTCCGATACTGATAACAAAGCGAACATCGCTATAGGTAAAACTAGATTATCTATCTGCGTGGTAAATGCTTCTAATAAAGATGTTAATAAAATGGCTGCCAATACATTCCACTGATTGATAATCACAAAAATACCTGAAATACAGAAATACAGGTTAACGGTCATCAAATTAAAATACACAATTACAATATAGTTTCCGTTAATTTTTTACACTACACTGTAATGCAACCTACTTTCTATAATAACCATTTTTTTACAGTGGCAGTACCATGAATACTGGGGGTTGCGTGGTCAAATGGTTTAGATTAAAATGTCTGTCACTGAGTCAAGTGGTGTGGTTTAGAAATGAAATGAAATGGGGTATGAAATGAAATGAAATGGGGTTTTACGTCCTACTGTTCTGCTCTGAACTGTGTTAATGAAGACGGGCGTACACCATACAGTGTGCTATAAGGGAAATTTTGCCCGGACAACGGCACTATGGCCTACTCTTATATCGAATTCCAACTAGACAGCTGTCCTTGTCAGGCACTCCGTCCTGCATCACTGACAAGGGGGAACCACACCGGAAAATCTGGATGAACTTTCTCTGCCAATGCATGGATCGAACCCGCAACCTCCAGGCTAGCCAACCAGCACCTTACCCATTTAGACAACGTGATCCCCCAAAATGGGGTTTAGCGTTCTACTGTCCTCCTTCGACTGGGCTAATGAAGATGGGGGCGTGGTTTAGATCCCAAGCTCGATTTTGGTTAGGAATAGGATCGCTTGCCTTAAGTTGTGGGTTTGTTCTGGTCAGTGACAGTTCTATGTATTTCTACTGTAACTTGCGTAACTCGGCACATTAAAATTTATCGTTATTTTTTAAAAAGTAACATTAACTCTGCTTCTATGATGAAGCTTTGCAAATCAACCTTAGATCAGCCATTGACTGGATTTTGTTTTGTTAAAAAAAAAAGAATAAATTATTATTGAACGAACCTAGATAATAAGAAATATAAACAACCAAACACTGAATAACAATCGAACAAACTGTTCCTTCTACAGTCTTCATTGTTCCTGAAATAAACAAACAAATCATGGCAATCTTATATCTCTAATCATTTTTTAAGGCATTTAGTAACTGTATTTTAATTTCTATTTCAATGCAAGTGGGTGGGGTGTAATTGAGAATTGTGCCCCTACAGTTTCTGCTTACTCTTAATCAAATTCTACTCACTTTTTTGGGTCTCGCAGGGATCACCCATCACAAATGAGTATGAGACTTGAAAATCTATAGCACTGTATATTTGGTATTTGTTGTATTGTCCCTTTAATATATCTGGTATTTGTTGTATTGTCCCTTTAATATATTTGTTGTATTGTCCCTTTAAGGTTATATCTTTAACCTGGTTACTAATGTCTTAAAACAGCACATGGAATCAGGACTCACTTTTAACTCACTAACCTAATCATAACTCAAACTTGACATGCAAGCTGGCTTTACTACAAGAAGTACCCCAACATATCACTTGGTAAGTTTAACTTGACTTCTATATTTTATCTATTTAGTTTGGATGTTTAATAAGGATATGTTCTATATACAAAACTACATAATTAATTATTGTATTTCTATAAATATAGGGCGATGACCATAGGGGGATGACAACAGAGGGCATAGCTAAAGAGGCAATAACCATATGGGGATGATGAAATGAAATGGGGTTTAGCATGAAATGAAATGGGGTTTAGCATGAAATGAAATGGGGTTTAATGAAGACGGCTTACTCTGTCAACGGTTCTTTTAAGTGCACGCCAATGATTTTTGTCCCATTCATACAACTATACGTTGTCCCTTGTCAGGCCCTCCATCCTACATCAACGACAAGTTGGAACCATGCCGGAAAATCATGAACTTTCTCGGACAAGGCAGGGTTCGAACATGGGACTTCCAGGTTAGCATGGCAACGTCCTACTCAAAGAGCCCCTCAAAGGGTGCCCATAAGGGGGTGGCCACAGGATTAAGCAAACCAAAACTATGCAGAATATTGGAAGCTTTAGTTCCCTCCTCAGAGAGGAGGATCATTGCTACATCAGTTTATTTTAACATATTCAATAACATTTATATATATTTTCGTCATAGTTACCTGGCCATTTTAATCTACCAATTGTTGAACCAGCTAATGATGCTACTGTATCTCCAATACCTAACGATAATACACCACTATATAGACATATATTACATCCTGAAATTATATATATACACTAACTATAATACACCATATATAGACACATACGTGGCCGAACTTGTTTGCGGGGGCCAGCATATTTTCCCGACAAATATATTTCTTTAGAGTCCGCGGAGCCGCGGGTGGCGAAGACGTCCGCACACGAGCGCTGTAGGCGCGAAGCGGAACATTTTGAAAACCAGACGGCCGTAGACGTGATTTCCAGGCATTTCGAATACTTTCTAGTAATCACTGGGCTCGTCCGGTGCATGGAGTTAGATGCCAGTATACAGGAACACAGTACTCAAGAACTGAGAAAGGCCATGTGTACGTGCTAGTTCTATTCAGATGGCGTACGTGTTCATCATTGACTGGACTGCTTTCTTTCCGCTTCCATATTATTAAAAATATTCAAAACCCGACAGACGGCGCGACACTTCCCGACAAACTGAGCATTCATTCCCGACAAGACCATAGCCTTCCCCGACAAGGCCATACCCCTACCCCCACCCCATTTTCAAAAACTCCTCGGCTAATGACTGATCTCACAATTCTGAGCTCTTTTCAGATTTCTACTTTTTTTCATGAAAATATTGGGGGGGGGGGGCGGTGCCCTCCCGGCCCCCCCGCCTCGTACGCCTATTTATAGACATATATACCCTAACTATAATACACCACTATATAGACATATATTACACCCTGAAATTATATATATACCTAACAATAATACACCATATTACACCCTGAAATTATATATATACCTTAACAAATAACACACCATATATAGACATATATACCCTAACAATAATTCTATATCGATACATATATCACAACCTGAAATTATATATACCCTAACTACAACTCTATATAGACATGTATCACACACTGAAATTATATATATAACTCTATATAGACACATATTATACCCTGAAATTATATCATAAAATATATATCTTTATAATTTAGCCATTCCTAAATTTTAATGGGAGATAACCCTTAATACTTTCTTGTTTAAACCTTTCAAAACATTTAAAATTTCATGTGTATTTTTATTTGAATGTTTGAACATTATCCTGTATATTTGTCAGATTGAAAATGGAAGAAACGTACAGTAAACTACACATAAGTCAGATCTAAGTGTACTGACTAATTTTATCTGAGTTAAGTGAAGATCTGAGTTAGCCGACTTAGACCGAAATTCAATATTAGCTCGATTAGAAATAAACTTCAAGAGCCAGATAGTAATTGATTCAAAGGCACATTTCAAACTTTTGTTCGTATGTGCGAGTAGATAACTTTCATTTTGGTGCGAGTGCGACTAGATAACTTCCGTTTTGTTGCCATCTTTGAAAAATGTCCCAAGCTGATTTGAGTCAAAATAATAGAGGAAGGTATTTTGATGCTCTGTGCATGGAATCATGGAATACCTAACCACGTTTTAGACCATCTGAACGTACTGCCAATCCGACTTAGGCGAAGGAAAAAAAGTCGGAATTCTTTAAAGATACATTCCTGCATACAAACTGGGTGATTTGATGATATATTTGGACTAAAAACATATTCAAACTAATCAATTTATCATAATTTTGCTTCAAATCCTTCTCTAAACATTGTAATTGCCAAGGAATACCCCTGCTATAAAAAATCGATCAAAAGAGGTCATGTTTGTGTCACGTGACTTACCTCTCTCGGTACCTAGCAACGGGTACAAAGTCATGGGAGAATACATTGCATACACCAGACGATGTTGTCTTTAATCGCTATGACTGTTTATTATTACAAATATCGAATCCTAATTAAATTCTCGGATTATACCCGCGTCTTTTTCCGTGATTTTTATCTCAGAAAGTGTTGTACATCTAACTCTTCATAAAGTTTATCAACTTGTACATCAAGCGCTCAATCTCCACGTGCAACCTTTGATGTCACGCGTGCAGATATTCCTAATCGTCGGGCTGCCAATTAGGGAAACCCTTACATTTTTGTCCTGTATACGCTCCATGAGTGTTTTTCAGGGAATCCGGTATTTTTCTAGTAAGATTGGATATTTCTACTTTCCATATATACCAAAATTACCATACTTTTATTGGAAATAACCACCCGATAAATATTTTTCTGGGAACGTATTTTTAAAGGGGGATTAACACAGTTGCAAGTTTGTGAGCATTTCCTGTTTACTGAAAAATCTGGTAACTTCATAGTAATCACGTCAGTATGTTACCTTTGATAGAATCACTATAGCAACATGGTGCAGATGGCATGGTGTAGCAACAGAAACCTATTACAAAGATATCAAAAGTTAAATACCCACCAGTTGACAATGATTCTGAAATCCATAATGGCAGAGATAAACCAATGAGAAGGTAGAGATGTGTTAAAACAATAACGCCTTGATCTCGTTCATCCGTAAATACATCAAATGATTGGTCGATTAGATTACCGAATGGTGGAATGTTACATACACGAACCGTCTGTAAGAAAATTTGACATCACGATGAATTTATGTAGTTTTCAACTGTGAAAATTTTGAACACCTTTCTGTGATTATATTAACAATTTTGGCCTTTGATTAGAGAGAGAGAGATAGAGAGAGAGAGAGAGAGAGAGAGAGAGAGAGAGAGATGAGGTTTAATGTCATACTTTTCTGCACCAATTGGGCTAATGAAGACGAGAGAGGTAAATGAAATGAAATGGGGTTTAATGTCATACTTTTCTGAATGAACTGGGTTAAGATGGGCATACACCTACCTTTCAATGAATTCCAACTGTCAAGGGTACCCCGGTTCTTTAACATGAAAAGTGTATGCCACACGAATTGTAAAATCAGATTAATACAGATGTGCTGGAGGAGACATCCCATTTCGATGTTTAGATTCTCTTTGATTTTTTATATTGTAATAGTTTTTCAAATGATGGCTGGGCTATTTAAAGTGGGGTGAAAATGCCTCCTTTATTAGTGTAAAATCAAACTCATGGCTAAACATCTCACTCACTAGCATGTTTCAAATGGATGATAACTGGCTTCTGAGAGAGAGAGAGAGAGAGAGAGAGAGAGAGAGAGAGGTTAACCTCCACTCAACACAAACCAGGTCATCTGGGGATTAACACTTAGTACAATTTCTTTTCAGTAATTTGCTTACATGTAGGAGTCTTTATTAGCAGTGGGAGGACCCAGAGAAAACCCACGAGGTTAGTCAGACAACCCTACTCTTTACCACATACAAGTGTCTGTTTGAAATCAAGCTACTTGACTCCATTACAGACCTTATAGTCTAAAGTTCCTTCAGCTAATCAACCTAGCATGTCATTCACTGAAATCTGATTAAAACACAGATCCTATTTCGTTTCGTTTTTATATTTTGAAATTTCGTTTTACTTGTCTTTACTACACTAGGATCATGAAGAGTTATTAACATTGACGTTTTCTTAATAGTGTGAGATATTAGCCAATGAAACGGTCTGTTATGGTAAGTTTTTGGCATGAGGTGCATGGAACTGTGAGTAACCCACTAGAAACATCAACGCTAATTGGTTAATCAAATGTCTGACGTCATGACCCCCTGACACGACGTCTCGCTACAACTGGTCAGAAAATCATGTAGTGTAGGCCATCGAAAGAAAAAAACGAAATATCGATCTGTATTTTAATCAGATTGTCATTCACTGCTGCATGTTTCAAAATGGCTGACGACCTGCGTCAGAGGATCTTACCTCCAGTATAATAAGGAATGCCATGGCAACCACTGATGATAAATATAGAAACTCAACATCGACAGCGAGACCAGGTATATACACCGCCACTACAACCAGATGGAAATATTTACGTACAATCGTTGATATCTGACATCCTTCTCGTGTTGTGTTATAGTATCCCACAATGCTCCCTGCTAAAACCGAACAACCAATCCAATAACACAGTAATAAAACCTGGAAAATATTCACCAAAGACTTGACTCATGGCTTTCGCTTTAAAATTTCACCATTCGCTTTAAAATTTCAATATTTGCTCAATTTTTTTAAGTATTTTGTTGAATTCAATATTTATATTGTTTTTATTGCATTTTTTAAAGATACGTTCCTGTGTACAAACTGGGTGATTTGATGATGTATTTAGATTAAAAACATATTCAAACTAATCAATCTATCAAAATTTACTTCATTCCCTTCTCAAAACATTGTATTGGCCAGGGAATACCCCTGCTATAAAAAAATCTATTAAAAGAAGTCATGTTTGTGTCATGTGATTTGGCTGACATGGTACCTAGCAACGGCTATGAATCCAGAGGAGAATTCATTGCATATTCAAGATGATGTTGTCTTTAATCGCTGTCAATTTATCATAAATATCGAAGCTTTATCAAATTCTCGGATCATCCACTGCCCACGTCTTTTTCTGTGGTTTTTATCTCAGAAAATGTTGTACATTTATGCTCTTCATCAAGTTTATCGACATATACATCAAGTGCTTACTCACGCTGAGGGATCAGATAATCTTCGTGTGCAAAGAGAGAGAGAAATGACAACCATTTTAAAGTAATGGTTTTTTAATTGTTTATCTCTAGTTCTAAATTCATGGTGTATTTTTGACCATAAGACATATTTTGTAAAACTTTTAGTCGATTAAATATCTAGGGTGTTTGGTTAGTTATGCCTGACTTTTTACAGTATGCCATGCACATAAATTCTAAAGAAGTTTGCAATATGAAATGAAAAACTTAAAACGTCCTACTGTTCTGCTCCGACTGGGCTAATGAAGACAGGCGTTCGCCATACAGTGTGCAATGAGGGAAATTTTGCCCAAGCAGCGGCACTATGGTCTACTCTTATTTCGAATTCCAACTGCCAAGGGATCTTTTATGTGCATGGCAATGTATACATGGGGCCTTGTTTTTTCATCCCAGATGTCCTTGTCAGGCTTTTTGCATGTACCACTGACAAGGAGAAACCATGTCGGAAAATCCTGATGAACTTTCTAGGCCAGTGTCTTAGCAACTTTTTAAATATGACAGTGAACTGAACATGGCTAATAAATGTATCATGTTGTATGTCATCTTGTTACAACAGCTTTAAAATGACTCACCCTAGAATATGACTTGAATATAAACTTGATTAACCAGACAAGTGGAAACTCCTGTAGGTATATATAAAGTACTGGTACGATGAAGACTACTGTTAATGCGCTGTATATAATGTAGAATATTATGGGATGTAAAGATGTATTAAGGAGGTAGGAAAGTATGGTGGCTATCAATAATCCTGTTACGCCAACCTAAAAAACAAAAAACAAGCAGTTGCCATGCAAGGTATGCCCACATCTTGCAAGAGATGGACAGAAAACATGCTGAAAAAAACAATTTTACATACCAGAAAGTTAGGGTCTGAGACGCACAAGTATTGAAAGAAAATATATATTTTAAGTTTTATTAAAATCGGATAAAAACTGTGACCTTTAGGGGGTTTCACCACAGCCTTAGTTTTACATATGTTTACACTATTTACGTAAGGGGAACGGTGGGCAGTTTCAGTCCAACTGGCATTATGGTGTAACAGTGCCATATTTAACCATTTCTTTAAATTGGATAAAAATGGTGAGCTCTCGTTTCGTCAAAATGGAATAAAAATTGTGACCAGTAGAATATCAACTAACAAAATATTAACCGTCGGACGGGGGGCAAAGACAATATATGTCCACATGAAAATGTGGGTGTATAAAAATTGAATGAAAGAAGGGCATACGCCATGCAAGGTACTATGAGGTAACTTTTGTCTGGACAGTGGTGGTACAGTTGTCTCTTGGTGGATCTTTAACGTGTGGCCAATGGTATACACATGACTTCAGGGTTTTACTTGCCAGGCCCTTCAACTGACATGGTGAAACCTCGCAAACACAAGTAGATCGAAGAGTATGGACCTACACTCTACATACATTGGAGATTTACAAGAAGAGCACTTATTTCAGGTTTCAGATGAGCGATTAAAACTACAATTGGAACTGAATTTAGAAAGGTTTGCATGAGCTATCGCTCTCCACCAATGAGAAGGCCTAGACCATATAGAAAGGTTTGCGTGAGTATTTGGGCTGTCATTCTCACCCATATATAAGGCCTACACCATATAGAAAGGTTTACGTGAGCATCCATATAAAAGGCCTAGACCATATAGAAAGGTTTGCATGAGTATGTGAGCTAGACCATATAGAACTGAATCTAGAAAGGTTTGCTTGAATATTTGACCTATCACTCTCCATCAACGATAAGGCCTACACCATATTGAGTCCCCACCTTTATTTTATAATTTACTTACTGAACAGAAAATATCAGCAGAAGATGCAGACGGTGTTTCTGATGTCTGAAAAATATTAAAACATATCATTTATTAGTTCCTTTCGGAATGGACGGAATCCTCGGACCATTCCTATTAACAAGTAATATGAAATTAATGTCAGTAATGCTCTACCCCCACAGCTGTTCTGCAGTTATTTTTGAATCCTTACCATCTATTTTTCAATGTAATTATGAAAAAAACATAAATAAAATACGTTTGAACTGGCCTGTCATTACGTTGACTGCCTACGCAGCTTGTGGTCTTTTAATCGAATAATTCTATTTGAAAATTGTGTTGGATTATTATAACTATATTTACCAATAAAACTGTATGAATAATTCTCCAACTGATGAGAATGAGTAGCTGTGATGTCGTAAACAATTCTCCGAATGTAAAACATCGTGGTAAAATATATGGTAGTTTCTTGTTGATAAAAACACTTATTGACGTTAGAAATAAACACAAGGCAATTTCACCGTAACCTGGAACAAAAATAACAGAATATAGTTGTTGTTGATTCCATAATGCAAGGTTTTTAAACGTGTAATACCACGTAATTAAGATAGAAGCCAATTTCATCTGTCGTAAAACATAATATCAATTTATTAAAGGAGCTAAATCTCTATTCTTTGGCACCTAGAAAGGGACACAAATTGGTCGCAACGCATATAATAATGTAATATGAATATAAACTGATATACATTCAATCGTTTCTGTTTTTACTTTAATTTCTAATCAGTTATGTTCGGTGAAATATGCCAAGTGTCCAAATTACATGGCAGTCTTTGGCATCTGGTTATTCCAGTCTACACCGGTAGTATTCTCCTGTGGAATATGTTGAGCCTCTTGTATCTAGTTGCTTCATTGCAAATGGCGCTCGAAAGCATTTAGGCATGCGATTTATGTGCTAATTTTAAGGTTTTCATTTTGTCTTAAATATTGGATATCAGAAGCCCATCTTTTCAAGGTAAGATTACAACATCAATGTCGATTGAAATGGACCAATATTGAATTGACCCATAAGTCTTGTTTGCAATGTCGAAGACAAAGTGCTCAATAATATTAAGACTATATTTTATACATGTAAAATATTTATTTAGATGCATCAAACCATTTTGAACCCCCACATGTGTGAACCCATTGGACCCTGCATTATTAACCTACGATATAAACTATACTGCCCACTACATATATACATGTATTTAATTACGGACGTAATAATTTCCACATGTAGTGATAATGCCCTTGATTAAATAGAATTCGAACAGTCGGCTATACAAAAGTATATAAGACCCTGAGGCGAGAGACTTGCGGTTTGAGGAGCAGGGGTGGGGCAGAAATGGGCATATGGACTCACTCGAGTTCAGTCGCTGCCGTGGCAGAAGGGCGGAATAGTTGTAATATAGTCATGTTCTGTCTTAAATCTTATTGTTCATGTTCCTGGGCTCTGTTTCTCGAAATCTTAAATAAAGATAAAATCCAAATTTTAGTAGATACTTCAATTTTGATTGGCTAAGCACTAAACTCAATCTAATATTATTCAATCAAGTTATTAAAATTTGGATTTTATCTTAGTTAAAATTTCATGAAACAGGCCCCTGATGTAGTTTAGTCCATATTTGATTCATGTTCCTGTTATATTTATGTAGCTGTTTCATATTCTGTTCCTGATGTAAATAAATCCTATATTTATGAAACTGATCTCTGTTATCACTAATAGTGTTACAATGCTTTAAACTGTGTTCATTATATCATAAGGTCTGTCATTGAGTCAAATGGCGTGGTTTCGATTCCCCACCTGTACGTGACAAGGAGTAGGGTCGCCTGTCCAACCTCGTGGGTTTTCTCTGGGTCCTCTGATGTCTTTCCACAGCTAAAGACCCCTACACGCAAGCAAATTATTGAAATACAATTAACCAGTGTGTTAGTCCCGAAATGACCTAGTTTGTGTAGAGTGGATGTTAAACTCTCTCTCTCTCTCTCTCTCTCTCTCTCTCTCTCTCTGGGGATCACGGTGGCTAAGTGGGTAAGATGCTGAAATACAATTAACCAGTGTGTTAGTCCCGAAATGACCTAGTTTGTGTAGAGTGGATGTTAAACTCTCTCTCTCTCTCTCTCTGGGGATCACGGTGGCTAAGTGGGTAAGATGCTGGCTCGCTAGCCTGGAGGTCGGGTGTTCGATCCGTGCATTGACCGAGAAAGTTCATCCAGATTTTCCGGCGTGGTTTCCCCCTTGTCAGTGATGCAGGAAGGAGGCCCTGATAAGGACAGCTGTCTAGTCGTTCGGATGGGATGAAAAACCAAGATCCCACGTACACATTGGCGTGCACGTAAAAGATCCCTTGACAGTTGTAATTTGATATAAGAGTAGGCCGTAGTGCCGCTGTCCGGGCAAAATTTCCCTCATAGCACTCTGTATGGTGTATGCCCGTCTTCATTAGCCCAGTTCGGAGCAGAACAGTAGGACGTTAAACCCATTTCATTTTATTTCATTTCTCTCTTTCTCTTCATATTGTACCAATAATTAGTGGCTATGATCTTTATGTACCTGTATGACTGACTTGTGATTTGGAGTCATCTCAACAACAAGCCGATTATGTTTTGGTCCCCAGCCAAAAACTTTATCAATGAATTGTGTTTTGACAATGGAAGAACTACATGATATAACCAAATTTAACAATTAGATTAGGATAGTTTAATTACGTCTGTATTTAGAGTTTAAAGGGCGTATAGCTCAATTCATTGGAACCTCAAAATAGACGAAAGTGGGTCTAAAAGCACTTATTAATGATTTATATCCATTTAAAAAAAAAAAAAATTTGAATCAACTATGTTTGGTGAAATATGCGAACAGTCCAAATTGGACGACAGTCATTCGACGTTTACATGTGGTTTTTTTATTATTATTATTTTGTTGTTTGTGAATCAGCTATTGCTAACTACTTGTCTTGTAGAATATGGTTTTCTTTGTTCATTACAAATGTCTCCTGAAGGCATAAATACACAACTTGTGTATTGATTATAAAATGTTTATTGTATCTTAAATATACATTATGCAAGAGCTAAATCTGCCTATTGCAGGTCTTTCTTTAGGTTTGAAATGTTATCTAAATTATTAATTAGACATTAATTAACTTATCCAGACCATAATCAACTCGCGATGGCATTGCTAGCCTGCGATATATTTACTGGATTAGAACCCAAGCTGCTGCTTCTGATTAAAACAAAAAATGGATTATCGAGACTATATTTTTTATCGTACCGACTTTATTAATGATGATCAAGGCTAGACCCAAAATTCAATCGCTAAATTTTTGGTTCAAGGTGGATAAATTTGATGGAAATTTTCAGCAATTTGCCTTTACATTATCTAGTTTTTAACTATTATAATGAGAACTACCAGATCTTTATCTAATCTCCCATAATGTATCTTTAAATATTAGATATTAGGAACCCATGATAAAAACATCAATATTGATAGAAGTTCTAATTCTTATTTTAAATTTCAAGTATTATGGAAAAATTGAGTTAGAGGTTTACATTATGTAGCTCCTTTAAATATGATGATATATTATAATAAATCTATTGATATCTGTTACTGAGGTTCAACAAGTTTAACCAATCAGACTGTATAGGCCTACTAGTACACCAGATGGTCTATTACATAACATTCACTGAAAGACTGTACAATAGTATGCGATGGTCTATTATATAACATTCATTGAAAGACTGTAATAATGAAGGTTTATTTCAAGTTTCATCCAAATCAGCCAAGTAGAAGTCGAGTTATTTATTTTCAAGTGATCAGACTACAGTAAGTTTGTAATGTGTGCAGGTGGTATTGATGTTAGAAGTTATTTAGTAGACTTATTTATTTTAAAGTGATCAGACTTCAGTAAGTTATTGTAATAAGTGCAGGTGGGCAGGGTCGGATTTAGCTGGATAGGGGCCAGGGGCTATTCCACTTATGAGGTCTCTCCCAATCCCCAACCCTCACGACTAGAGAAAGAAAAGAGTTTTCTAAATAGGCCAATTGAGCAAAGCCGTGGATGATGACAGTGTGTGTAAGACTACAGTGTGTGTAAGAAGTCCCTGTCGTTCTTCCAGCCCTAAAACTCCCGTCTGCCAAGGTAAATCCGGCACTGCAGTTGGTATTGATGTAAGGGTAAACGCTGTTATTCAGTTTGAATTTAATTGATATTTTTGCATCAGATGTACGCATTTCAAATTTATCAAAATGCTTTCATTAAAAGTTAAGTACATATAGTTGTAGTTCAAAGAATTGACAGGAGTACTTTTTCTGCCTATATTTATCCAGGATAAAAAGGTACATGATGAATATATTCTGAAACCAGTCAGGAAGAAAATGTACCCACCTTAAAAATTGGTATGTACATTTCTGGACTAATAAGCCCATAAACCCAACGCAGCCGTTATCTTCTTCCTACCTACGGCCGTTCGAAATCTCCAAAATTTGCTTTGCCCAGGGGAAAAGACCTCGGAACCCCCTAAAAATACGAAACTCTGGGATTGTCAGGAAGAAATGGAACATATAGAATAAGTCATCCAGGAAATAAAGGTACCAATCAGACTGCGGATGGTGTTGATGTTTTAGATGTTGTGATTGATTGTGAAAATGAATATATATATTCAAAGTTTGATCTAAAGGCATCAAGTCAAATTATTGTGGTTTGAAGAATCCGCCAAATAGACTGCAGTAGTAGGCTAATCAAATATGCATGGATGGCGTTGACATTTGTCTGTACATGAGTGACTGAAATGAAATGGGGTTTAATTTGTCCTACTGTTCTGCACCGACTGGGCTAATGAAGACGGGCATTCGCCATACAGTGTGTTATAAGGGAAATTTTGCCCCGACAGCGGCACTACGGCCTCCTTTGTTTTCAAGGGTTGTTTTATGTGCACGCCAATGTGTACACAGGACTCCTACACTGTTGACCAGGGGGAACCACGCTGCAAAATCTCAGTGAGTGATATTCCAAGTTTTTTATAACATTCATTCCCTGTATTTCTAAGAAACGGCCAATTAGGTAGATTACTGTAGGTTAATTTATAATGTTGTTTGGCTGTAGTATGAGTGTACTGTTATGAAGCTAGGGGGGTTGGATGGTTGAATGCTTAGCACGTGTGTGCTGTATCATAAAGTCTGTCATTGGGTCAACTGGCGGGGTTTCGATTCCCGGATGTACGTGACAAGGAGTAGGGTCGCCTGTCCAACCTCGTGGGTTTTCTCCGGATCCTCCGGTTTCCTCCCACTGTTAAAGACCCCTACGCGCAGGCGAATTATTGAAATAAAATTGAACCATATATTAGTCCCAAAATGACCTAGTATGTGTCGAGTGGAAGTTAAACCCCATCTCTCTCTCTCATTAGAAGCAAATGTTTTTGTGTTTTAAAGTATCAACCAATCAGACTGCAAATGCTTGGGAAATATTCTCCACTTTTTTCTTGGATTGTCTCCCTTGTTCTGAGTTTGGTTTCAAGTGGATGCGAGCAACAGGGGTTCAAGATCACTTAAAGGAGCTAAATCGCTAATATTTTGGACCTAGAAATTGGTACAAATTGGTCGCAACACATATAATAATGTAATATGAATTTATATAAACTGTTTTACATTCAATCATGTCCGTTTTACTGTGAATTGTCATCAGTTATGTTCAGCGAAATACGCCTGAAGTCTCAACCGCAAGTCAGTTTCTAGCGTCTGGTTATTCCAGTCAATACCGATATTATTTATTGCGCATGCTCTCCAAATAAAAACATGATATCACCGTTTGACATGACTTGTGGAATATGTCTAGCCTCATTCTTTGAGCACCTTGTTACATATGGCGCTGAAACGCATTATGGTACATGATTCGTGTACCAATGGTAAAATGTTGGGGTTTTTTGTCTTAAATACTGGATATCAGAAGCCCATCTTTCTAGGTAAGATCACAACATCAATGTTGATTTAAATTGCAAAAAAATTTGTGTTTTCAATGTCGAAGATTTTGGATGATATTGAGTTAAGGACTTAGCTACTTTAAGACTGTTGTCAGGATTGTCAGCCCTTACGCTCTGGGAAACGGGGGTTCATGGTCACTTACTTGAAGATGAGCGTACAAGTAGGACATTTAGGGTTGTTAGCCCTTACACTCCTGGAAAAGGGCTCAGGGTCACTTACTTGAAGATGAGAGTAACGGTAGGAGAGTTAGGGTTGTTAGCCCTTGTAATATTTTCCCGGTATTCGATGATTCGGTTGAGCAGTTTAGAAATGTCAGCAACAAAGTTACAGCTGTTACTACGGAAACCAAAATACCATCCTTCTCCCATCTACTGTTTGCATGGAAATCTGTAAAAATAAAAACGAGAAAAGAAATGAATGAAATAAGAAAACTATCTATAAATAAAATCATGACATGGTTTTAATATCTTCTCTGACTGGCCTAATGAAGACGGGCATACGCCATACAGTGTGCTAAGAGGAAAATTTTGCCTGAACAGCAGAGCTACATCCTACTCGTATATCAAATTACAACTGCCAAGGGATCTTTTATGTACATGCCAAATATATACATGGGACCCCGTTTTTTTCATCCCATCTGAAAGATTATAAGTTTTCATTCAAATTACTCTATTGCGAGCGAAGATATTAGCCTTTGAAGTTTTGACAAGACGTGTGCAATAATTTCAACCACCGTACTGGTTGTTCGAAGCTAAGTCTCACTCCTCCATTTTTAGCTTAAATCAAAATATGGCTGAACTGTTCTAATCTATTTAATATCGGAGAAATCCGATGCCATCCAGAGTTGATTATGGCCTGGGTAAGTAAATTAATGTCTAATTAATAATTTAGAAAACATTTCAGGCCTAAAGAAAGACCTGCAATAGGCAGATTTAGCTCTTGCATAATGTATGTTTTATATGATTAGTACAATGACATCATTATTAATGTGACGTCATAATGTATGTTTAATAAAAATTAACATTCCTTGCATTACTTAACATAAATCTGCATTACTTAGCATAACTCTTCATTAGTTAGCATAATGTTACTGAACATTACTTAACATAACCCTGCAATATTTAACATAACTCTTCATTACTTAACATATTGTTACTGAGCATTACTTAACTTAAAAATAAACTTACTTAATATACCTTAACATAACTTTACACCACTTAATGTAACTTTACATTATTTAACATAACTTTACATCATAATATATAGCTCTTTACATTGCCTAACATAACTTTACATTACTTAATTAGCTTTACATTACTTAATATAGTTTTACATTGCTTAACATAGCTTTACATTACTTAATATAGTTTTACATTGCTTAACATAGCTTTACATTACTTAATTAGCTTTACATTACTTAATATAGCTTTACATTGTTTAACGTAGCTTTGCATTGTCTAACATAGCTTAACAATACTTAATGTAGCTTTACATTACTTAACATAATTTTATGTCTCTATTCTTTGGAATCTTAATATAGACGGAAATTGATCTAAAAGCACATATTAATGTAATATGAATGCATATAAAGTGATTTATATTGAATTTTAAATCAGTTTCTAATCAGTTATATGTTGCTCCAATTTGAACAACAGTCGTTTACGCTCACTTTGTCCATTTTACACATTTTTTTATTATCATTTTGCCATTTGGTCATCAACCATTACTAGTGTCTTGTAGAATATGTTTTTCTTTGTTTATTACAAATGGCACCCCAAACCATAGATTATACAACTCGTGTACTGATTTTAAAATCTTCATTTGGTCTTAAAGTAGCTAAGTCTCTAACTCAATATCATCCAAAACCTTTGATAATGAAAACGCAAATTATTTGTCAATTTTAATCAACATTGGTGTTGTGATCTTACCAGGAAAAGATGGGCTTCTGATATCCAATAATTTAAGACAATATAAACATTTTACCATTGGTACACAAATCGTGTACCATAATGCGTTTCAGCGCAATTTGTAACAAGCGACTCGAAGAACGAGGTTAGATACATTCCACAAGTCATGTCAAACGGCGACATCATATTCTTATCTGGAGGGCATGCACAATAAATACTATCGGTGTAGACTGGAATAACCAGACACTAGAGATTGCCATTCGATTTAGACTTCTGGCGTATTTCGGCGAACATAACTGCTTTGAAATTAGAGTAAAAAAAAAAACGATTGAATGTAAATCAGTTTATTTACATTCATATTACATTATTATATACGTTGCGACCCATTTGTGTCAATTTGTAGGTCCCAAATATTTGCGATTTAGCTCCTTTAAATATCGATTATGCCATGTTTTCAAAGCAAGATAACAACATCAATATTGATTGAAATGGACCAATAATGAATTCTATCTTGTATTTGTATTTTCAAATATAATCATATTGTGGAAAATATTGAGGTAGAGGTTTAGCTCCTTTAAACATGCATTATGCAAGAGCAAAATCTGCTTATTACAAGTCTTTCTTTAGGCCTGAAATGTTATCTAAATTATCAATTAGACATTAATTAACTTATCCAGACCATAATAAACTCTCGATGTCAAGGCTAGCCTTTGATGTTGATTGGATTAGATTCCTATATGCCGTTAACGGCTATTGATAATTAAATCAGTCGCTCCCGTGTGTCAATTTCGGTGGCGCTATTTCTCATTTTGATGTTAAACACACCAAAATAAGAAACTTCTTGTCCTCTACACTAGAACTAGTCCGAAACACCAATAAGGCGATGTGGATAGGGGGACCAGAACGAGAATCTCTAATAATGTCATTTGGTGGCGGGGCCCCCAAAGACCGATAACGCCCTAAAGACCCCTTCGTGCAAGTGAATTATTGAAATAAAACTGAACAATGTGTTAGTCCCGAAATAACCTAGTTTGTGTCGAGTGGAAGTTAACTAAATAACCTAGTTTGTGTCGAGTGGACATTAACTCTCTCTCTCTCTCTCCCTTTAACATAACTTTAAATTACATAAAAAATGAGTACATGACAAAATGCACATGATATATAACAATAGTACATGTCATCTAACCCCAGACATCTTAAAACTTGCTTGATTTATAATTAATCTACAATCGTAGGGTGATAATCTTCACAAGACTAAAGTCTAAGATCATTTCATTCAACTATCTTCCCTTTTTATAAACACTTGAACTCGTCCATTATCCAAACAATTTTGCACTTGGATAAGATAAAAGAAATTGATCTTTAAATCAAGTGAACCTGCTTTGATTTAGGTCAAACCCTCACTAGAATTAGGTCATATTAAACCTGTTGACAAAAAAGTTAATTAAAGTTGCAATTTCATATTTTTAAGTTATATTTTTAAAATTTATTAAAATAAAGCCTTAAAAAGATGGTATCTATAAACAGTCCTACCTTGTTAAAGAATAATCCTATTAATACCATAATTCACTATTGCCAGTTGACAAATTGGCAAAAATATCATTTTCAACTTCAAATTCAAACGTTTGAAGATAACTACTCCATGGTGGAGAATAGAAAACAAGGGAGGTAATTGTGTTATTATTTCCGGTGTAAATGAGTTTTAAGTGTGAGAATGACGCCTATGATCGTATAATAGTGAGTTTACAACCTAATGAGCAAAAGACATAGAAATAATTTTGTTTTCACTTTCTTAGAAAATATGAAATTGTAACTTTAAAGGGGCATTATGTAAGATTTAGATAAAGAGCTGGGACCTTTTTCACGAAATTTTAACTAAGACAAAATTCAAATTTTAGTAATTTGATTGGATAATATTAGACTGATTTTAGTTCTTAGCCAATCAAAATTGAAGTATCTATTAAAATTTGGATTTTATCTTTAGTTAATATTAGTTCATATTCTTGATTGTCAAGTGCCATGATGAAAAATCAAGTCTTAATTGTCAAGTTTCATCGCCATGATGACAGACTTGATGAAAGTTTTGATTATCAGCCTTTTTATCGGCAGACAATAATAGCATTTAAAGAGATACTGCGAGCATTGATTAAGTCACTCAAAATCTGGGCCATCCAATTGTCTAGAGAGTTGACTATGGACTTACATAACTACACGTCTAAAAAATAATTTATATAACATTTGAAGCCAGAAAAACTCCCAGCGTTAGAGAAATTTAGCTCTCAGATAATGTATCTTTAAGCGGGGGCTCTATAAGAATATATTATTATGATTAATATATAACGGTTTATGACCCCACCATTGTTAAATCTATTAAGCCCTCCCAAGAGAAATGGCATCTATTATCCCATTCGGAAATAGTCCATGCCGTGCACCCTCCAAAAAGCCAATCAAATCATTTAGAAGGCTGATATGCAAGTAGAAATGTTACGATACAAATAATTGGGCTTTCCATGACTGATCCCGACTGAGACATAAATGATATGTCACGTTGGATAATATTTGAACCATTTTAAATCGAAATGGATCACTTAAGAACTTTTGCACATTCTTTATATTTATATCTAGTGTTTTAAAGCTAAGTCTCCATAGGAATACCTCATTATCAATAGGATTAAAGCACACTGGAGAATAGTAGTGGAATTTTACAAATAATGGTGAAGTTTTAGGCCGAGGGAAAGAGACTTTAGACTAGCCAAATGTTTAATCTATTTTTGTAAATTTGACAAGTGGGTGTAAAGTAGCCTGTTGTCCGTACAAGTAGATGTATAATAGACGGATGTCTGTAGTGATGTTTATGATTGTATGCGTGATCTTTAAGTGATATCTTTTATCTATCACGTTAAAAACAACTGCCCTTAAAACTGCAACGTGACAAGTTTTTCAGTTTTTCCCGTTTTTATATCTGATCTCTCTGTACTCAGCCATAATCTAGATCAAATTGAATATAAACATGTACTTGACATGTTGATTGTGGGATTTTTGTTGTGTGTCACTAACAAATCAGAGTTGCCAGGAAACACATAACACTTCCCTTCTCTATTGATTATGTTTTTCAGAGAGAGAGAGAGAGAGTGAGAGAGAGTGAGAGAGGGGGGATGGTAGATTCAGGGAGACAGGGAAGGCTGCCAGGAAACACATAACACTTCTCTTCTTCTCTATTGATTATGGCCAAATAGTTAACGTGTGTGGTTTGGATCAGAAGGTCTGTCATTGAGTCAAGTGGCGTGGTTTCAGTCCGCCATTGTATGTGAAAAAGAGTAGGGTTGCCTGTCCAACCTCGTGGGTTTTCTCCTGGTCCTCATGTTTCCTCCCACTGTTAAAGGTCCCTACAAGCTTGCGAATCACTGAAATTAAATTGAACCATATGTTAGTCCCGAAATGATCTAGTTTGTGAGAGAGGAGTGAGAGAGAGACAAGACG